ATGCATTTTAACTTACTATCGACTAACTATAGTAACACATACATTTAGAAATGGCACATTTTTTCTGACTCTTCAGTTTTGATGAATTTTTCCCAGCAAACATGATTTTTGCGGCCCTCTAAAGGTACAGTGAAACTTGCCGGCGAGCGGTAACAGCGGTCCTCTATTGTACAACTAAATTGGGCCGGCTAGCCCGTGTCCCGGCGGCCGACAGCCGACCGCCTCTCTAGAGCCATCAGTATGCCGCTTATTACATTGCAGGGCTTCTGGTGGGCAGATGCAAGTACTCAAATGTACCGCATTCATGGCATATCTTCGGCCCGATTGAGACTGCCATTAATTGGCCGCTTGAGAATTTTTATTCCCCCAATAGAGGAGTTTTTCAGGGCCGTTGGTTAACGGGGATGAATGAATTCAATATTCATGGTATTCTGTTTCTTGATGTCCTATTTTTCAACTAAGTTTGTCAAAAAATATACAGGGTAATGCATATATCTCAGTGGAAATAAGTTTTTTGATAGGTATCCCAGTTTATATCACCACTTGGAAAGCAAAGTATCTCATTTTCACTCAGATCTTCATCACTCTCTTTATTTTCAAACTGGTTGAAAAATGTGGAACTTCAAAAAACAGAATTGAGGTCTCCCAGTTTTTTGTGAATCCTCTGGATATAACAGAAATGTGGAATTCACTCCTTTCCTGAAGTTGTTGAATGATTACATAAAAATCCTGATATCACAGTTTTTTCCAGGAAACTAGCAGTATAAATACCCCATACAAAAACAAGAACTGAAAATATCCATGTGTGTATATTATTGCCATGATCTCAAAGAATACATATCACAACTATGGAAACATCAAACATCTTAATTTTAGTTCTACATATCACTCTGTATACTCATCATGAAAAGGTACCTACAATTTACAATAATAGGTATTTGTTTTTCATCATGCAGGATAGATATTTGTTTCTCCACTAGTTTCAAAAAGTTGCTATAACTCTAGGTCAAAAATTACATCACCTATGTACCTACCTAATAACTTGAAAGTTATGTATGTAGGTAATCAGTTAATATATTGATCAAGTTATTGTCAACAATAGAGTTCAATCCACAAGAAAACAATTCCCAGATATGGAGAACCTCACTCTTTATCATATTGATATGAGTGTTGCCTGGAAGTGGGATATCATATACCATGAAGAAATTTATATCATAGTCTGGATCATTGTGTGATTTCTTCATTAATATCTGTGGTTGATGGGCTGCTGGTTGTTGATTTTGTTGCTGAAAGATTGAATGATTTCATTCTCTACTAATCCAAAACATGCAACATTATACATACCTACAGTGATTCTTGAAATATAACTGTATCTTCAAGTAGGTACTCTTGTTGTTGTTGATTTTGTTGCTGAAAGATTGAATGATTTCATTCTCTACTAATCCAAAACATGCAACATTATACATACCTACAGTAATTCTTGAAATATAACTGTTTCTTCAAGTATAGGTACTCTTTGATTTTCGTTTCGAAAATAGATTTATGATATTCATACGTAATGAAAGCTCATGCATCTTCAAAGTTCTCATATTATTATATTATTAGATTCTTGTGTATCCGCTAAACATGTCCAAACTATTATTGCATATGTTTGTCCAATGGTGTTTGTTAAATTATTATCTAAAATAGGGGCATTCTTTAGCTGGGCAAGTTTGTATATATAATATGTTTGTTCCTCACTCACTCTGTATTTATTTCAATATCCTTCCACTTTGTATAAAAATCCACTAGAAAACCAAACCCGAACTGAACACAGTACTAAAATCTCTGTTGAGAGTGTTGAAACAACATAAACAAAGAAATTAATATACGCCATACTGAATCATTGTTACCACTGCAAAATGATCAAAATAAAAACTCATGCGAGCGAGGGATGCCAACGTTGAGTGAGTGATGACGGCACACTCCGTTGAAATTTTGATGGCCCTTGGACTTGGATACATACAGCGGAAGACTAGCGGCTGGGAAACAGAGGCCCATCATAAGTATGTGTACATTCTGCCTTCGTCATATAATCCTTCGAAATTATATGGAGGGCCTTTCGAGGCATGCCGACATCGACATTTGCCCGCCGTTCTCGCCATGGGCCCGGCTTTCTACCGCCTTTCGATGTTTGCTGGGTTCAATTAATTTTATAAAAATTTAAATTTTTTAACAATCAATAAAGCTCTGAAAACAATTCTTATAGAATATATTCCGATACAGACATTTGGATGTTAATATTTTTCAGTTAGATATCAGATTCTCAATCATAACATAAATATAATAAATTCAGGTACAACTTCGGTTTACAATAATCACAGAAGTGGGTATTAGGTATATAATATAAATATAATAAATATAATGAATAGTAGGTACACCTACTTATAATTATTTCGAATAAACTAGAAATCGATTAACTGATTGTTGGGTGTTTCATAGGTAAAGGGAAACATCTCAATAAAAAAAAAGTGTTTGCCAAGGTGGTTCTGAAAATACCATATTTGATGAGTCTAACAGTCTTTATAACAGAGATTGTTTGATTCAATTTTCCATGTAGATAACTAGTGAAACTGATTACAAGTAATCACCGCATACCTAATGAAAAAACAGGAGTAGAGTTGTAATACAATATTTTGTCCCAGTTAACAGGCCTAAAGTTATACCATTCGGAACTGTTCTGAGACTGACAAACAACAAAGAATATCTTACGCACTAACATTAATTTATACTTTTTATCCTTCCGAAGTGATATAATTTGAACATTCTGCTTCGAAATATTACTACAGAATTGGTAGCAGTAAATATGAGAACTATTGAGAACTATGTAATCTAAGTGAGTATTTTCGAGAGATTATTCTATAGTATAGTATGGATATCATAGTTTTAGTACTCTTCAAATTGACATACTTTCAACTTTTTATTTATGAGTGTTGCGATGAGAATTGGTGGCGGGAATTCAGAAAGTATTGAATCCAATTCAGTTTTTTCTCCTCCTCACGATAATTTTGATGAACTTTGTTAATTATTAAACACAGTGTGTTCTTTTATATTTAGAATTAATGTGAATTTTTCCTGAAGCCGAGTACCATACCATCCATACCAAATTTGAGAAGAATTTACTGGGTGAATATTTATTCGAAATCGATAAATCATCCTAAATCTGTTATAGTGACTGTAAAACTCATCAAATATGGTATTTTCGGAACCACCTTGGCGACCCCTATATATCTACCATTGAAATATTTCCCTTTACCTGTAAAACACCCTGTATACAATGAGCTCGTAAAGGTTGGAATAAATTCGTTGAAAGCTTGATATAGTGGGGAAAAAGCTCGGACACGTTCTCTTTTTCAGTTACGAATTCTTTCATATTTAGATCTATGGTCACTGTTCAAGTACTTCAAGTTATGACGACATTATCGTTTTTTTTCAATCGCAAATATGCCCTAACTCGATAATACCTTCAAAAAGAACGAACTTTTCTCGGTACGAACGTCATATTTTTTCTTTATTTTTGCTCATGTTACATAACCGTATTTCCGAGAAAATAAAGAGATTTCATTCATAATAATGTAATTTATAATGATGACGTCATCAAAAATATTATAGACCAACAAATGCGCATCTGAAAAAAACAACCGACGTATCTGAACTTTCTTTTCAATGGCCATATCCACCTTCCAGAGAACCAACCTTTACCTCACTGTATTGAGAAATATTAAGATTTTGTGAAAGGCATATGAAACGTTGAATTCCTTGAAACTACTCAAAACGATGAACATAATAATTATATACAGTGAGGACCAGAAGTCCCTCACCCCCCTCCTTAAATTCTTTATTTAACGTGTTGAAAAACTTTAGATAGGAAAGCGGAATACGTTGTGTTTCATTTGTTATGGTTTTCTCACTGAAATAGTGCAAAAATAGTCGGCATAATAATTTACAAGTGTGTATAATACCAAAGTATTATTAACTACGGTGACATAAAACGATCCATCAAACTTACTCAAAATTCAACGTTTATAGAATCTAATTATTCCATTTGAAAAAAGAAGCTACTGAGTTGCTGCCTTGTTTAGAGAAACATTCATAAATGAAACTGAAACCATTGAACAGATCGAATGCATTAATTTTTTTTGTTATCTGTAATATAAAAAAGTTACGAGGGGGTGACGAACTTTTGGTCCTCACTGTATATAATCATAAACATAACATTCAAACGAGAGAAGGATAATGAAATACAATTCTGATACTGACGCTATTCGTAGGATTGTGAACTAGTGCATACTTGCATTCTTTTGAGTAGTTTTTCATGTAAGCAATCATTTTATGCAATCTAGTGATTTCCATAACAATAAAACTAAGTTCAAGATTTTCAATATCACAATGTACCTATATCAATTCGCAATAAAGGTACCGACCTAACATAAAAAAATAAATAGTATCGCAAATGTGACAAACTATAGGTAACTAGAAAAACCTACCAGATTGTACTGGTTATTCTTTATTCATGTTGGAATTTTCATTGCTAACTATTCGACAAAACTTTCGATCAGTAAATTAATGAAAGTTCCAGACTTTGGCTATCTGTTAAGAAATTCGATAAGCTTATACCTATTGCAAAGCGTGTACATACATTGGAAATAAATGTTTTTCGCCACATTTGATACGCTGAGAAATATCAAAAAGTGGGTGGTATATAACAACTATTCTTCAAAATATCATTTTGTTATGTACAGTGCTGATACAGCTACACGTTTTGCGAACCATTATCCAAATTGCAAAAATTATCAATTCATAATTTCATAAATTGAAAGTACAACTACACTAAGCAGCTTTCGTTCACTGTAGTTTATATCACTTTCGAGTTTAAGAGTATTTCTGATATGTACGTGTATTAACTAAAGTAACTTTGCATCTCCTTCGTGCATTTCCCGAATGTTTTTCCCCATTGATTTTTATTCATCGTGCGCAACATTTGTGAAGCTTTTGTAGTGGTAGAAGAAGAAAATGAGAAAAACTGCGAATGCTGTGGGAAACGTTATCCTGGCTATAACATCTATCGTTTTCGCCACTCGGATCGGGTGTGGTGGCTCCTTTTTCCTCACCTGCAAAACACATGCCTACTCAAGGTTAGATTTTTAGAATGAAAATTAAGGGATTAGAGATTGCATGCAATTATCGAGAGATTACTACATAACTGTACGTTTTCAACTTCAAATTGAGCATACCGGGTGCAGGGGCGGATCCAGACGATGTTTGAGGGGGGGGGGCATAGAAAGTCACGGCTCAATAAGGTTAGCGCGGAAGAGAAATTATATGGTGACCTTCTGAGACAAATGCTTTTTCATTAAAAAAATTGATTATAGTAAACATGAAATCTTCAGTTTTCTTTCAAGTATCGAAATTACTGGTGTAAAGAAACAAGTTCAAACTTTTATTCCATCAATATATGTAAAATTCTGTAATAAATCATATCGGATAAAAAAAGTGAATGAAAAAATATTTCTCTTCAAGAATTTGGGTTCAAAAGTGAATAAAAATATTTCTTTTAAAAAACAAAACAAATTAAACAGACAAAAATAAAAATATATAAAATAAAGCAAACAAATTCCAGTCTTCTATATTCTTCTTATGAATATGCATCAATGCCAATCCATTTAACCTGTCTTGGACCATTCTGGATCTTATCCAATCTTTCAGCCTTCTGGGTGTTGAAACACTTCTTTCAGAAGATGCAACACTTACAGGCAGGCAATATAATGGTTCCAGAAGAATGTTTATGTTAGGAAACAAATGTTTGTTACATTCCTTCAGGGTATGGTTATACCATTGTTTGGTATATTTTGCTTAGTATCCCTCATTTTCTTCCATATATACATTTCAGAAACGATATTCTGAAAGGACATTTCATTATTCATCAATGGTCGGAAACTGTTCAAGTATATTTCGCATACCTCATATATTTCCTCATCTGTTTGGTTTTTAGTTATTGATGGCACACTAAGGTGAAGTTTGTATAGATTCAATTTATTTTCTGATATTCTATCATTCAGATCAAGGATAATACTGGGATGAAAACAGTTATTATGTAATGGTCATCCACTGAGGAAACCGTAGGATTCGGTCTATGAACCAGTCTCCTTGTTATTCTCGGCATCGAAAATTCAACATTCAGTTCTTTAAATTTCTGTTTGGCTTCATTCGAAATACTCAGATAGTATTTAGAATATCATCCCTTTAATTTTGAAGCGTCAGAAGAGTGATACTAACAACATCGTTAGCTTGTTTTTTGTCTAAGTTTTTCGAAGTTTCTAGCTATGAAGACATAAACACTGATTTTTTCATTTATTCAAAATACCTACATTTTTACATATCCATGAGGTTTCCGAGGGGAGGGCCATGGCCCCATGCCCCCCCCCCCCCCTGGATCCGCCCCTGACCGGGTGACACAGGAGACATATAGCAGCCTGTAGTTTTTTTATTTGAAGAGATAAAATTTTGAAATTCACAGGGTGTATATAATAAATGGTAGCGCACTTTACGAACTTAACGACAATTTTTTTAACCACCTGTTTGACCGGAAATGACCCTAACTTTTTTCAACATTTCTGCAGTCTATTTTTTTTGCTTTGAAATTCTCTAATGTATCACAGTGGCATTTATTCCTTGATTCGCTGTTGAATTGCTTTTTATTCAAAAAGAATAAGTTGGCTGTGACATTCTGTGAATTCGATGATATATCGACACTTGGTAGGCTTTGAAATTTAAATATCATTAGTAAACCGATATTATTCAAAATGTTTTGATATTCTAATCAATGTCTGCAGGTTGTCAATAGCTTGTTTGAGTCAAGATGAAAACCTTCGAAAATAACTCATGATATTGAGGAATCTAAAATAGGAACATATTTTTTCGAATTCAGCTACTCGTACAGAAACTATCTGTCTTTTATTTTCGCCATGTACCTATCACATGATCTTCCCATTTGGAATAATAAAACTAAAATTGTTCCTCTTATACGATGAAACACATAATCCAGTGGCGCACAATTTTTTTTTTTTCGGGGTATGGTTTTGGAGATACGAATCAAACTTATGATTTTTTAAATGGAACACCATGTATTTCATCAGCTCATCAAATTCCCTATTTCTTATATTTAGAAGATCTTAAGACGCATTAAGAAAGTGTGTCAATTGTGTGTTAGGGAAAATGGACATCAATTTGAACAATTCAATGAATAATGTTGAAAAGGAATATTCTCAGATAAATTATGGACATACAAAAATGGATATATATTTATATGGAGCAATACATTGAGAATTCGCATTCTCTATGTGATGAGAATATCTACGCTTTTTCTGTTTATTCAATAGAAAACAACTACTTTCCTGGCTATATGCCACGACGAACATTGAATTATATCTATTGAACACACACGATGAGAGTTTGAAAATAAAATATAAAAACTTCAGAAATTGGGAATTTGCATTCTCCTTCAGACAAAAATTGGTATATGCACACATCATTCTGAATATTCAACAGAAAACAACTACTTTCCGGGCTGTTTGCCACGTCGAAAATTGAATTATATCTGATGAACATTCAAAAGGAGAACTTGGAAAATAAAAAATGAAATCCTCCGAAATTAAGAATAATTTCGAAATTCAATTGCTTTAGTAAATATTTAATAGGTGCTTATTCTACATTATGAACTTTTTCTACAAACGTCAAAAAATGACAAGGTTCGCGCATTGATGACGAATTGCGAAGTGTCACTTTTTTTCAGTTTCCTACGTTACCATGATACCTTGCACAAAACAATGCGCGAAGTAAAACAGTGCGCCAAGTACCTACTTCGCGCATTGTTATAAAAGATATATGAGATATTTATATTTCAACTATATGGTCCCCAATCGAGCAAACATTCACGAAATCATTTATTCCTGAATGTTCAACAATAACTTTGTTTTATCTCTTGGAGCGCACGAAAGAAAATTTCTATTATGTTCGTGGAACATCGTGCGTACCAAAGAAGGATAGAAGGAGGCCTTTTATGCCAGTTCAACACTATTTTCCATATCAAGCTAAGCATATTTTTACTTTAGAAATATATTTTTTGACGTTTGTAAAAAAAATTCCGTTTGCAACTCGAGCGCGAAATACTTTGGTCATCTCGACTATTTTTTTAACTCGGCTACGCCTCGTTAAAAAAGTCAGATCTCGATCACCAAAGTAGCATTTCGCGCTCTAGATACAAAAATAACTATTTTATTACTATTTATTTGTTGCTTTCAGGTTCCTATCTTTTGTGTTTTATTAGTTAATTAGTGTTGATATTGTTTTCGTCCTCTTCATGGAAAAATGGATAGAAATATTCCTTCAATTGGAACTTTATATGAAAAATCCTTATCCCACTATTGAAATTCAATGTTTCAGTGATTTCAGAGTATTTTTGGAATGATATAATGAGCTTATAAAATACAGTGTGTTCCATTTGAATAATCATGAGTTAATTTGAGTCGTATCTGCAAAACCATGGGATAAGATTTTATAATTTGAGATTTTGGATAAGAAACTTGGTAGATATAAAGGGGGTCCAAAAAGTATAAATTTTCGAAATCGCCCTGTATATCATAAACGGAAACAGTTATGCAAAATCTGATCGGGCCATCTTGAGTTTCACAAAAAAGTGGCACAGGACTGCGAAAACCGCAAGGTTTTATCTCCAAAGATAACTGTGATATCACGCAAAACCATCGAAAACTGGACACACTGTACAGTTGTGTGCATAAACAAGTCTTACAGCAGTTATTCGCGAGATTCACGAATTGGGCGACATCTAGGTTACATAATACGAACTTCAAACTGGGGGAAAACAAACTGTTGTCTATGGATAAAGTGCATAGACTACATTGCATTCAGCTTGCTGTAGCTGTAGTCAAACTTGTCAATGACATAAAGTGTTGGCACTGTTGGTAGTGATGATGGTTGAGTTGGTTAATTTTTTTACATTATTACATTTTTATTAGTTTATTCCCACCTGATCTGGTGAAATTGACACCGCAAGGAGTCAGAAAACCAAGAAATACAAAAGAAGAAGAAGAAGATTAGTTTAGTGAACAGTGAACGGGTGAAGAATTGAAGATAGTTCAAACAATTCAAACTGATTATGACGAGCAAATCAATTGACATATAAAAGAACAGCTACAACATGTTTACAATTCTCAGACTGTCCTGCTTTGCATGAACAAATACAAATCCATTGTTCTACAGGAGTTCCTCTGGACCCCAACATCAATTCTACTTCATGTGGGGAAGATTTCATCGCCGAAGTTTGTAGACAAAGTGCAAAAATGTGCCTTTTGTTGAAGTCTTCTGCCTCACACAAAATCACATGATTAGCAAGGAGAACTGCTTCTGCTTCCACTACTGGTCTGCCTTTTCCATCTGAATAGAGCAACATATCTGCCAAAAGAACATCTACAGCAGGCGTTTTCGATCGAATATTGACAATTAATGTCAAGAAATTTAAAAACTTATCACTCTTATCAGTGCACAGTACACAAGCTAATGGCACTAATGGGATTGAGTGAGGAGTGAGTCTGTTTTCCCACAGTTTTGACGTGGCTTTGACATGGAACGATGAAATCCGAGCGCCACCTGGTAACATTGATTCCCGCGAATTGGCTATTGTGAGTCAGGCTTGCCAATCTTGATTAATTTTCTCATCGACTTTGACAAGTAGTGTCAAAATTCAAACTATTTTTGTCAGTGACGCGCAAATGTGTACGTGTACTACTTTTTAATGAAATCAGGTACATCATATATGCCTGTTTACACCATACAAACCTTGTTCGACTTTTTTATGCACACAACTGTACTTTGGAGAGATGACACATATATTTACCTCGGCACATCCGTTATTGGCTGCGTGTGTGCACGGATTTGGTCCACAGTTGGTGCAAGCGACGATCTCGTTAGGTAACGCCGAGTCCCTTTTTTTATCACCCTGTAGAGCGAAAAATTAATGTTCCATATCCTAATGTCTGTTACATCGGAAAGTTATTTTACAGTTAACTGAAATGAGTTCAATGAATTAAATCGGAATGGTATTGTTAATAATCATGATTAAGTTTTAGGTGCTGATGGATAAGAGTGTGACTGATATGAAGGTATTATGTGAAGTGTATCTTGATTCAAGGTATATGAGTATATTGTGTATTGACAGTTGCTGCACACCCAAAATTTGCTGAATGAATTGATATGGGAGGAAAAAATGGATCCCAAGATGAAATATATTCTGCTAGGTTAGCTATCTACATACTAGTTTTTTTCATTTATGTTGAGTATGAGGGTATCACTATAGGAACATACTCCATACACAGAGAAATAGTCGATAGTGAATACCAATCGTTTAGTAAAATAGGCGCCAGTCAATACATTCATCTATAAGTTTAGTATCATACTATTTTGTTTTTGTATTGTTAACATTTGATATAGTATAGTAATAATTTTGTAGTGCTAGTAATAGATGAATGCGCAGTGACTGGCGCCTATTATACTAAACGTTTGGTATTTACTACCGACTATTTTTTTCAGTGAGTTAAATTAAGATGTTTCAATATCAGAATATGACAGATATATCTGGAATTGAGTAATATATGTTATGAGTTCCGTTTGTAGTGATTTCGCTTCTGATGTACTATAGTATTTCATTCTTCCAATGCCAGAAAATGTTGATACTTCTATACACAATTTCGAAATTAAACATTGCCTGACATATTCATATTCTGTGGCCTCGTTGTAATGGGTCTGTTTTTGTGAAACAATGTATCACATTATTTTGCAGCACTAATCCAAACTGTCGCAAATTCCATTTCAAAGCTCTATACATAATTTAAATGATTATTGAAAATCACGTTATTTCATAACATGAATAACGCACCTGTATTCTACACTCCTGAATGAAATTTTGAAATTATTATATTTTCACTCCATTGGGCATGGCAAATCTAGTTCCCGTACCGAATTGCATCATTTTATCACATGGCGTTTCGAAAATATTCAAGAAATTCATCTCCAGGATCCCCCTTTCAGGGGGCCGCAGCTTCCTAGACATTTCCCGACTCATGTTCATTCGAACTTTTCTTCCTATTTTTGGTCATAGAAACCGCTGTTGGAGTTTGGCAGGCTGATTTCGGGACATCCTGTATACAATACGACTTATGTTTTGTATCTATCTCAAAACACTCCTACAGTGAGAGTGCATTTTCATTTCTATGTGAAAGTGGATATATTCACATTGGTTGTTGGGAAATATGACAGTGTTGGTGCTTAACGTTTAGCTTTAGTGATTAATTTTCATTATTGTAAAAACATAATATTTGTTGAATGACTATCGAATACTATTCAACACATGGAACGATGAATATAAAATTGATATGTTGCGTAAACTTGACTGTACAACCCTACTGCATGTGTAAACATGAAAACATGTCACAGAAAGTGTCACTATAGACACTATAGTTGGTGAAGATATCGTTGAAAGTAAATTGTCATGAATTCTTGCAATTCAGATAGAATAGAACTATTAGAAGTATTCGATTTGATGAAATTGTAATATCAATATGATGAAATTAGAATGCTCCATTTGGAGAAATAATTATTTATATTTTTGTATTCTGAAAATTACGTATTGCCTCAACATATATTATGTTTTTGCAATTTGAGAAAACTGAATATATCATTCGATGGAATGAGCATTCTTTAATTTGAAGAAATGTATCCTTATATTCTTGGATCAAGCAATAAATTTATTGAAAAAAAAAAATAGTACGCTTCTGCGAATTAGAAAATCGTTTTGATTGAGTTGAAGTAATTAATTTAGTAATTCAATAATTACATTCTTGGTTTGAGAATATATTTCAATAATATGACACTATTTTCTTGAACATACCACATTTTTCGACTCAAAAGAATATGCTCAATTAAAAGAATATATACAATTGAATTTTCAAGAGAATGAGTTTTCTCATTCGGAGAATTTTTTTTTCTGTGTGTAGGTTATGTAGCTAGTGGTGGAAACAATATAATATAGAAACCACGAGACATTTTAATCAGTAAACTTTTCGCATCGAGATTAAAAAGTGTACTTTAGTCCCGGAGCTTATAATCTATTTTGAACCTATATTCTTTGATAGCTTGGAATAATAAGTACTACAAACGGAATCCAAAACACGATATATTTTCCAGAGTTGTGTCGATTTTCGACCGCCAACTTGCTTTATTGGAACATCTCGTACATATGTTTGAAAATAATCTTGAAATATGCATCTACGTATAACGTAGATTTTGTTCTCTTTCAGTCTGGAGGAGATTTTTGACTCAACGAGTTATCTGATGATTGTCTCAAATTAATATCCAAGATAAAAAGGAAGGCACATGGGCAAGGGCGCATTTTTTGGATGAGCAGCAAGGAAATAATAGAATATACACTGATTGTGATCTTTGTTAGTTTTTTCCGAATTAATTCCATTGAAACCAGAAACCGAGGAAGTTATATACATTTACGAATAATCTATTACATCAACTTTATGGATATGGACTTTGTTGAAAAAATACAGTAGGGAACTATGCAGTGATAAAAACAACATATTTCGAAAATAATTGTACTTATATATTGGTATATTAGTTTTGACAATTATTGATCGATTAATTCTATATTTTTCATTAGGTATTGATTGAATTTCAGACTCAGCAGTTGCTTGTCTCCTTTTCGGAATTGTTATTTTCCGTATTATATCCAATCGGAAACTGCAATATGCTCCTACTTATCAGTGGCGACGAGGATGGGGATACTTTCTTCTTCATTTTGAATTTGAAACCATTTTCGATAAGCAATAACACGGCTATTGCGTTAGGTACACATAGAGTCAGTCCTTCATGTAATTTTCGCAGGATTAATTTGTAACCTTCGCAGGATTAACTTGTAACCTTCATTGCTGCTATAGGATGCCATGATGTATACTATGGTGTGGACTCTGGTACGTTTTATGTCGTTCATTCTGAAATACTTTCGGATAAGACGTATTATTATATATGTACTCTTCCCTTCTATATATGAAACTACGATATATCTTATTCAGAAGGATTCAGAATGAAGGAGATTACGTACGATATTCGTCCGTAGGTACAGCTTGACCATTCCAGCTTGGCCCTTGAGATGCATAAATGATGAACAGAGATGGTTAGTGTGCGACAATCCACTACGCTTTTCATTGGGAATTATAATCGTCAACCGATGTTCGCTGAACCAGTTGCTCGACAATAATTAGCTCTCGCCACACTCCGCCGACTGGTCTACTGCGCATCCAAATCTCAGAGGCCAAGCTGGAATGGTCTAGCTGTAGGTACCTTCCCTTAGTGAAATGAAAAAAAGGTACAATTTGAAATTGCCACCCTGATTGGACCTTAACTTAATTATCAATCCAGTGAATATTTCTAGAGTAAGATCCTTTGTGATAGGTTGCAAGGATACCAAGTGTTTATTTTCGAAAGATAATGGACAATGTTGTCAAAATTTGTGGGTTGGTATTTAGTAGCGTACCTGACGATCGTCAATGTGTAACTGATCACGTGACGCCCATCGTCGTCTCCATGAAGTCTCAGTTGGTTTTGATTCTTGGTTGGGCTAGTGTTCCATTTCCATTCATAGTCGAAAAATTCAAAATTCGTTAAATACGATCTTATGTTGAAGAAATCAAAATGATAAGATATTGGACGATTGTAAAACTAACGAAACACTTAAATATTTTCAATTTTCCAATTATATTCTGATAATTTCATAAATGATGATAAACATATGCTTTTGGCATATACACGTCTTTGGAAGGAAACATGAATACAGGGTGTTAACTTCTTATCCTGCATGAGGAGAAAAAAATTGGCAAATTTTGTTGTCCAATAGCTAATTTCTATTTAGATAACGGGTCTTCTACAATGATTGAAAACCACGTGACTGGTTACTATGGAACCAAGAATACATTCGTATCTCTTTAACGTGAGTGGAAAAGAGAGGCCGCATAAAAAATGGTCATGTGGCATTCCATCTTTGTTGAGGACCCATATTTCCGAAAATTGGTTTTCATGAACTGATGTAGTAGGTTTCCTCTGTTTCTGGAAAACGCGAATGTGGGGTAACAATTGTTATCACAACATGAGCAACAAAAGGGTAATCTAGTCAACATTATCGAACTGGTGATACCAACTTCTATGTCGATACCGGAGGACATATTTATTTTTCGCCTGAGTCCATAAGTTGTTTAAATTACCCTACATGAAGAAAATATTCAGAGATCAAATTTAAATTACTTGTAGCAGTTGGCATAGATTCGTGAACAATATTTGTTTGAGAAATATGTATATATTAGTATATAGCTGATAATGTTTATGGTTTGTATGTCAACTATCCGTTAATTGAAAGATATATCAACTCGGAGATAGAAGACATAACCTTCGTTGTAAAATCATCTGCTAGAACATTTTTAGGAAAGTTATTATGTCCGATGTCCACCATATAAATGGAGACAGTGTTGAATGAATAAATTTGAATAAAGCCTGGAAAATCTTTATTTGCAATTGACGATGAAACGTTATCTTATGGCGTACTGTCGTGAAGTATATTTCATTTGATCTCCATGTTATACAAGGTGTTTCTTAATGACATATGCTGATCTGTGACCGCATGATTCTTAGACATTTCAAGAAACCAACTTTATATATACAGGGTGTCAAAGTTGATGAAAAATAATTAGTTTTATTAAGCGTTTGGGATCACACGTTAAAAGGTAAGGCCCCCGTCATTCCTTACTCGCACATGTCTTTCGAAGACTTTTGCATGAGGGTTGCTCGTAAGGGGGCAACCGAATGACGGATATTACAATTTTGAAACAACAAAACAACAACAATTCAATTACTGTAGGCAACCGTTTGACAAAAATAAAAAATATTGCAAAGCATCGGAGAGTCCCTGAGGGCAAATGCAATAGTGAATACATTTAGCCAATCGTATTTCGGCCTAAGGAGATTATTGTTTATATTTCTCTTAAAAGTGAGCATTGAAGGAATAACTTCAAATCACATACAATGCTATGAAAGGCCATTTAATTCTTTATAAAAAATATCCTCTTGTTGATACTCGATAGGACGCTCCGTTTTCGAGAGAAAAAAAGGAGAAACGAGACCAGATTTCAAATTTTGATGTGAATGCTGAGCTGAGTACTCCATCAATTCAGGATAACATTTTGAAATTTTTGTACCTTCTAGGTCACATATAGGAGTCCTAATTCTGCCATCACGGAAAGGTATACAGGGTGGACGAAAAAATAATCTATGCTTTATTTCAACTTCGATACCATCTCAAAAGTTGGGACGTTTACGACATACGTTCATATGAAGTTTCGTTCTCGAAATGGGTCCAAGAATCGCCCCCTTGAATATTATCATGCCATTAAGGAACACCTTGTAGGAAATAATCAAGTAATATGAAAACTTCACCGATCACTGTATAATATAGACAAGGGATATTTGCACAACCAAGTACCCTCGCAAGTACCCTTACACTCCGTCCAAAAATTAAGCTAGATATGTGATATGGTGTATTTGTATTCTAGCAGTACTTCATGGAATATTATGTTGGCAACAATCATTAATGCATTTTGTCTATATTATATTGCATAGTGATCGATAAATCAGCTGTATTCGCTGTTTTTCTTGTTAGATTCACAGCAAAATCAGAGATTAAGATTTATAGTCCCAATTCTATTGCAACCTTGGACACATTATATTGAAATTAGTGTTTGTTGAAACACAGCAATGAGTACTATACATTCGAAAGGATATCAATTTCTTTAAATGGACCAATTTGTTTATCCAGATTCGGTTCAAGCTGTTATTTACCTACTGCATGGCATGAATTACATTCTCAACACAAACTTACTCTTGCATACATGGGACTCTCACAGAATGTGGAATAATATTCTTGTTCCGCAGTTTCCTATTAATATATAAATATAATGAAGCGTTTCTATATTTTGATAAAAAAAATGAATGATAAACATTTGATGGTGACGTTTGGTTTGGTTCATAAGATGTTTGGGTAGTAATGATAGAATGAAAAGAAGATATGAGCTAATAAGCAAATATATACTTTTTGTCTAGTAATTACCACAAGGTCTACTATTCTACCAACATAAGTGAGACTAACAAGCTACCTATACTGTATAACATGGCCTGCGGGTAACGTTTTCTATATACTGACGACAAATAATGTCCTTCAGTGATCAGAATATATTACTGTTAATGATTTTATTATAAACCTACGGCATTTTATGAAATTAAGGGCTCTGATTCCTCGAAGTACTATGACCTTCAATTATCGATGAGCAGCTCAACGACCTTGTGATCAGTGCTAGTATGTATTCAGGAAATGAGTGAAACGAACGAAAATCAAATTGAAAATATTCATATGTGAAAATGCGAAATTTTATGTCCTGATTTGATTATAGTAATAGTCAGTCTGCAGAGATTGTGCCAAACGGTCAAGTACATCCCTTGAAATCAATATTAATACTAGGAAAGATAGAGCTCACGTACCTACTGAAAGTATGAAATTAATATAATAAACTGTATATTTTCCACTGGATGCTAGTTCTATGATACAATAGTCATAGTTTGAGATTTTCAGCGGGGTTGAGAAGGGGAAAGGATGAAAATCTCAGGTGATCTCATTTTGAGGCAGATCAAAAGAAGATGCCTTATGTTGAGGAATATGTTTGCTCAGATTGTGATGCGTAGGTATTTTCATAAAATTGCTTGAATCGGAATCAATTACACTTCAAAATTGCCAATAGACTAGTCTGACCAGTCACTTATTATTATTCGTAAGCGTGTGCGGAAAGGCAAACAAAAGTGTTAAATATAAATCACGAATAAGACCAATAAATGTTTCTTCTTATTAGTTTCATTCTTGTGTCACAAATGTGTGAACATTTTCATATAAACTGATAACTACACAATATACAGTTTTAAAGTCAATTTACTGAATGTTATGAAGTGATGAACACCAGAAGATAATCTGTAATCTTTGCCAAGGCTAAATACTGACGCCTCCGAAGGACGGCACAACCTTACGCATATCTTGTACTTATTGATTTATGGTAGCTGCAAGTTAGAATATGGCATGACTTACGTGAATTTTTTTGAATGACCAACTATTCAGTAAGTATTACCTATACTAACCGTGCTCGACCGTGGGTAACGGCTCGACACTGCTTCAGTGCAGATATTGAACGCATCAATATATTAATTTCACATTTCTCAGTATTACATGTATAGAATGAGAGAACAGACTGGATATTGAACGGGTCGCTCCTTAACCTGAGGAGCTATTCAATTCTTAAGGAGATGTGTTCATAGAAATAACTTATACAATTTATATCTTATATTCTTAAGAAGATGTGTTCATAGAAATAAATAACTTATAAAATATATATCTAATTTTGAGTTACTTCAAGCCTCAAAAGTTGAAACATATCCTTCACTCACTCAATTCATCATAAGAAATAAAGCTAAAGTTTAAATTAAATGTGAATTGAATTGATGAAAATTTTATGAACAGACCATCCCAGCCAACCATCGTGTGGCATCAACATCTGTGTGATGTAACAACCTTGCATAAATGCAATATCTCGTTAACACATCTTATCGACGTAGATTCGATATCAACGTCGCAAGGTGACATCGCAACCAGGAAACTATGTAATATGGCATCGACTTCTTCAAACTACATCTCTTCGACGTTAACTAAATAATTCACATTGATATCCTCATGAGATATCTTTGTGACCTGTGAGTGTGACGCAGACATGCGCAAAACGAACGCACACGCCAGACGCCATCCCAGTTAACCAAAACATGTCGCAGCTTTATCCCTGCTGCATTTCAAATGTTCCATGTTTCATCACAGAGATGTTCCCATTAGAGATATAGCATAGATGAATGTCCGCCTCAAATGAAATCACAGACTTATATCAGTGATGCAACATCAGACTTGAAACAGATATGCTCCTGTGAGATCACAGTGATGACTATGTATCTACATAGCTCTCTCCATGAGCTTGCCAGAGACGTTTCTGATAAATCTGTGCTCTGCATTAGCTCCATCTCAAATCATCCATGAATTTATACTGGTTCCACCAGTATTTGAATCAGTTTTGAATGCAACACCATAATGTTTAGGATATATTCTTGGATTTTCAGATGTTGAAATCAAAAAATCCATTAATATACCCCTAAACACATGTAGTGGCATTCAAAACAGTGAAACAAAAGGAGTAAAAATGTAAACTTTATTCCAATCCATTGACAAATTACTAAACAAACCTCAAAATATATGTAAAATAAAAATATGAAATAGAATATACAGGGCGTTCCCAGTTTTCATGATGATCACAGCATGGTTTTCTTCCATAACTCCTTCATTTATTTCCTTTTTACCTGCAGATTCCATCTCTTGGAAGTGATCATAGAGAAGTTATCATTCATTTTCATGGGAGATCATTGTTTTGTTTTTACTGTTCTCTCCAACCATTTTTCCATCAAAATCGAGATAAAAATCTTTAGTTGAGCTGACTACAACTAGAATAACTGATATTTCATGTGCAAATAAAAGTATACACAACAAGTGTTCACCTGTCATTATTGCGAAAACTCTCAGATTGGCCTAACCAGCTGGTCTTCCCTACACGGGAATCAAAACCTGGTCTCTTCAGTATATTTTTGTCTTTCTTGAAGTCCAGCTGGAATAAAAATTCAATTTCAAACTACAAACTAGTAGCATACCTATATTAATAATAAAAATATGACACAAAACACAAGATACATTTACAAATATTGTCACTAAAATTGCAGAGTTGAATTTCCTTGTTGGATACAATGAATCACAAGTACTTAAAAACTGAAAAATAGCCTCAAACCTAGCTAGAATAAAGAACCATAACATTATCATCTATTTGCAGATATCTATTTCATGTGGTCATCAATGATTTATGAATGATTATTCAATGATTATAAATTTAATTGGTATACAATTGAAATGAATTCCACCTAGACATGATGGTGTGCAAACTGCAAGGGTAGGCAAATCATATCTAAAACTTACTTACCTTCGTAGGTACTGACACCGTATAGAAGTATATGGTGGTACTGATGACTACATCAGCAGAGGGCTTCGAATCACACAAGTGGCTTACTTGGAATGAAATTCATTTCAATGATTCAATGTCCCAATGAAACAATAAGAGTCATCTTGGTGATTTTGGTGAATGGCAGATCATTGTTGTTCTGGTCATTTAGTGAAATAATAAATACATTAGTTTTGTTTTGTAAACAACGAGGTATCCTTTTATGCTGCTGATTTCGTTTCGTTACCGAATTTCTTGAAAATCCACGAAAAAGTGAGGTTAGGAAAGCCCAGTAAACACAAAGCACATTCTTCGTCTCCGTGATTGTTAAACCACATTAACCACAACCACAGTGAATTTCACGTACTCAAATGATCACTATTAAACCTACAATACAAGCAAGAATTATATTTTGGATGCAATTTGCATCAGTTCAATTTCAGAACGTTGTGGAATGTGATGCCACAAATTTCTTTAATTGATCTCTATATTGTGATGACGCCTGGGATGCCTCAATTTTATCACGTTGATAGAACGTGTGATGAAACAAAGTTCTTTGATTGATCTCCTTTGTGATGACGTCTGAGATGCCTAAATTTTATCACGTTGATGATAGAACGTGTGATGAAACAATATTCTTCAATTGATCTGCTTTGTGATGACGCCTGGGATGCCTCAATTTTATCACGTTGATAAAACGTGTGATGAAACAAAGTTCTTTAATTGATCTGCTTTGTGATGACGCCTGGGATGCCTCAATTTTATCACGTTGATAGAACGTGTGATGAAACAAAGTTCTTTAATTGATCTCCTTTGTGATGACGCCTGAGATGCCTCAATTTTATCACGTTGATAGAACGTGTGATGAAACAAAGTTCTTTAATTGATCTGCTTTGTGATGACGCCTGGGATGCCTCAATTTTATCACGTTGATAGAACGTGTGATGAAACAAAGTTCTTCGATTGATCTCTTGTGTGATGACGCCTAGGGCGTCTCAATCTTATCACATTGATAGAACGTGTGATGAAACACTGATTTGTAGCAGTAGCATGTTATATTTTAGATGCAAGTTGCATATGTTTCAGAACGGTGTGATGAAACGAAGTTCTTTGACTGATCTCTCTTGTGATAGAGCTGAGACATGTGTGGTTAACTGGGATGTTGAGCTGTGCATGGCCATGTCAGTCAGTCAGTCAGTGAGTGAGTCCGACTCCGTACAGACTATTTCCTTCCAAATTCTCTGTTGAAATATCTGAGATGATTTATAGCACATATTATAGCAGCTTCAAATTGGAGGTACACAATCATTTAGGAACGACGTGAGTTCAATCACAATAGGTAATATTGTAATTATTCTGAGATAGGAATATTGCAATCTGAAACAAGGTGGATGAGAGATCCCAAGATAATGTAAGTGTATTTGATGTGTATCATTCAGGAATAATGTATATTTGTATTGCTATATATATGTGTCATGTTTTACTTCAAGATTACTAATTAGGGTGATTGTCATGATAAGTTTTGAATCATCTGTTTTTACTTTCGGAAAATAAACATTTTCTTCGTAAAGTTGAATTATTATTATTATTATATATCCCACGAATATCACAGGTACGGCGACCACATCATCGATGTCGCAGTGTGATGTATTTGTAATATGAAACGTACACTTCTTGTATGTGACCTGGTAGTGATTTTTCATGTGATGTCGCATTTCATGTCTGAACGACGTCACAGTGATGTTGCTTGAGTCGGACATTTTCACATCGCCACGTTGTATCGGTAATATGTTTGTGACTTCAAATGCGATATCGCATGTCACAAAGTGATGTGATGTATACATCACTTATACATCTCATGGTTGGCTGGGATGACACGCATTTACTGACCCTATTCGTTATAACCAATTAAATATTCCATAAGCCACATGCTTTGATGTGACACGACACAAGAGGGCGTATACCTGACCGTGCTACATGCGCACCACCGGTCTCCACACAAAAACTGCATCGGACATCTACTATTCGAAAATGACAACATGCGCATGCAGGGATAACAAATGACCATTAGCCTTGCTGGGTGATTGGGTGCTAGGCTTGTTGCGATTTCATCAGATTTTGGAGGGAGCATGTAGCATAGCAGTTCATAACCTATAGGCTTACCAAGGGACTGGCCAGTATAATGCCTATCCTGCTGAGAACAGCGGGCAGTCGCTGCAACATGACAGACCAAAGAACGTACAATCTTATGACGTGAGCCACTGACAATAGCGTTGCGGGCCACTCGCCCTGGTTGTTACAATTTCAATAATTAGTCTTCTTGGAAAATGGTTTGATCAATGTTAGAGTGTAGACGTTATGTCAGGTAATGCATACAAAGCCCATGCAAGAAGATACCAAGGAGTTGCCTTATCTGCTAGTTACTTGTGGAGTTTATGGAAGATATCAACTCATTGCTGAAATAGGTACCTACGTATTTAGACAATGAGCTTTTGGGTTTGTCCATATTGGGTATCTATTTGTTTACGAACCATATCTTAGTGGAATTAGCCTAACTAACAAAACTCATCAACCTACCTCAACCCTGAGACTCAATTCTATTTTTTACACAGTTGACAAATTATAAAAATCACCTCCAAAATCATATAGTGTACTGCAACCACCGACCTACTAATATCAAATGTAAGGACATTACATGAGGATGCGCGAAGTATTTTTACGACCAACAAGCGAGCATTAAAATTGGTTGAGGCACCTGCCCAGTTTGTATCAAATAGCACAGCATGTCGTGGATATCTGCTTTGATACCTTATCAGGACGTATGTATTTTACTCTGCTGATTTTATCGGAGCTGCCTTCTCTAAATTTCATTATCGATCATCCTTCAGTAATTTTTACGTTGTTGAGAGTTGGGTGTATTATGCATAATGTGTGTGTAAAATTTTTTATATTTGAGTTGTTTTAGTTTCTTGTCATATACTGCGTATTGCGGTAACAGCGATGCTACATGATATGTTTCAAATTATCCATGGTCGGCCAGTACGATTTACGCACTGCGCATACTCGTCAACCAACTTTTTCAAACTGATCACGTGGGATGCAAAAACTGAGAACTAACATTGTAGATTGTAGATGGGTCGTATAGTCTGGGAGTCCTCTCGAGCACTGGGACCTAGATAATCTATTGTGATTGTAGTAGTAGTAGTAGTAGGTGACTGTAGCCAAGCCCCGATGGGCCCTTTTTGCTAACCACTGCTCTCCGCATATCTACGCTTCCTTCACCTAGATTTCCTTTACGAATCTTCCAGACCGTCTGATGAAGGCCAGTATGTCGGACCACTCTAATATAATCAAGTCCTTCTGTTGCAGTGTGTCTACTCCAAATATTTCAAATCTCAGCCTTCCGTACGCTTCGCACTCGCCGAGGAAATGGAGTGACATTTCCTCGTCTTCCCCGCATCTGAGGCAAGTGGAGTTGTCCTCTATTCCCATAAGTGATAGGTGTATGCCTAGCCTGTTGTGTTCTGTGCGTACTCCTATGAGGAGGCGGAGAACTTGGTGGTCTCTGCCAAGCAGCCACTCCTTTCTTGATTTGTTTGGACCGGCCATGAATTCCTTGGCCTGCCTGCAACCTGTGATATTCCTCCAGTATTCTCCTAGTGCCTTGCCCGCTCATTCATCGAGGGCTGACGTGATTGTAACTGCAACTGGCCTTCTGAAGCAAATTTCCTCGTATGTACATAACCATATGGTATCTATACCGCTATATGTCATATCATATAGCAACCCAAAAATATCATCCAAATTACTCGCCAGAAAATGCCTGCTCAATGCACAGAAACTCCCAAATTGTCGATATTGACATCGAATCATGTCTCTTGGTGTTAGGAAACATAAATAAGAGCATAATTACCCTGAGTAAGAGTTAGTAAGATATATGATAGGTCCTGAATGCGCACGCTCCATCAAAACCAAGTTCGATATCGAAAATAAATGAGCTTTGGTTCGATATTATGGCATTAGCGACCTTGTCGATGTCGGTGGTATCTACCCACAAACCATCTACGCATATAAACCAAAGCACTGCTAACAAGAGTAAAATTATACTTACACAATTTACCCTCGTGCCCATGCTAGGCTAGAACCATATTATTATTGGTAAGTTTGAATTGGTGAGTTGGAATTGAATCCGGAGGAATTACTAGTTATTACTTCGGCCAAAAGCGAGATTGAAGATATTGGGAAGGTTATATTGCAACGGTAAATCGTCTAGCAAACAATTATAGGCTATAGAGTGGGATAACGTTGAATGCGCATACTTTTACTAGTGTTCGCAGTGCTCAGAATCAATCAGTTTCCTGTTTATTTTTGAGATTACCTGACATAACGTATTACTGAAATTATTTTTCTCATGTGAGTGTTGCATTATTCATAATTTTTTGTAGACAATGGACGATGAAGCTGATATCAAACGTATCAAATACATTTTGAAAATCGATCTATTCAATTAGAACTTGCAACTTCCGGTTGAGTGATATCTCCACTTCATTTGAATTCTGCTCTGAAAGGTAGCGTTTTAATTAAACGGAGAGGCGTAGGTAGGCGAATTCTAACAATATTATTCTCCCGTGCTCCTGTTTGCAGAATGGGAGCGAGTATTGAAACTCGAGGAGTTTATTGGGTTATAAATACTGAATGTTGATTGGAATTTGATGATGACGCGAATCAATACATCCGAGAGTATATAGGATACATGGTTGAAGTTATCGCATTTGAAAGTGGTGGCAAATGCATCTGCATAGAAGGGCGTAACTCAAAACATATACGTTGGGGATATTTTGAGGATGTTCACATAATATGTTGCCATGATTTATTATTGAATATACAGGGTGTTTCCTAACTACGGTTCCTAACTGCAGGGGGTGATTTGTTGGGTAATTTTAGGAAGGAAAGTTCCTATGAAAATATGTCCGGAGTTGCTTCGTTTCTGAGATACAGGGCGTTGAAATTAAAGAAAAAAACGGTAATTATAAAATATGAATATCCTGAAACCGATTTGGTTGAAATATGGTACTTTTATTTGTAAAATTTTCTAAAATTTCAGCATATCAAGTGTCAATGATATTGAAATAATGAAAAATTCATTTCTCCAATGCAGGTGTTCATGAAATGCAATACAGTGGCTTTAATTTGTTTCTCGAAAACGAAGCTGGATATAAAGAAAATACAGGAGACCAAAAAGTCGTATTTTGAGTTGCTTAATCTAAACAAATAAAAATTTACAAAAAAAAGTCAGTGGCGCACTTTTTTACAATTTTGTTGGCTGTGGTGCCCACTGAGACGCCACTGGCCCCAATAATTTCAATCTAAATAGCGTTAAATAAGCGCCTCATTACTTCAAATAATAGTACCAAATTTCAACCAAATCGGTTCCAGGATATTCATTATATTTTATAATTACCGTTTTTTTTTCTTTAATTTCAACGCCATGTATCTCTGAAACGAAGCAACTCCGGACATATGTTAATAGGAACTTTTCTTCCTAAAATGACCTAACGAATCACCACCTGCAGTTCGGAACCGTAGTTAGGAAACACCCTGTATAACACGTATCCTGAAAAATTGCCCATTCACGATTATTCTGAGGTAGGCAATGAATGTTATCGAATATTTCTTATAGGTAAGTATGTTAGTTTTTCTCATATTTTTTCTATATGAGCCTGCGAATACTCGATTGCATTATACAAGGTGTTTCAACTGATGGGCTAGGCTTCAATTATCATCATAATTATCATTGAAATAGAATGAGAATGGAGTGAAACAATATAATGTGGGCTATTCAAACAGCGTATCGTCAAATTTGGTCGTCTCCGCTCTTGAAATTTGACTGGAAACTACTTTAAACAGAGCTAAATAATTTTATCCTATACTATGAGATTAGGCAAGTTGAATTAAAGTTTGAGGAATAAAATTCTTTCGATCTCAAGGAAGAAAAAAAGATTATATTACTTATATTGGCGATAATACCACATATATTACTATATAAAACGGGTCGGCCAATAAAGTTCGAAAACCTTTTTTTTCAAAATATATAATGATATTTCAAGATTAACCCGCGCCGTAGCTCATCTACGTTAACAAATAAGATTACAAAAATGACAGTCGCATCTGGATCCCACAAATCCGTTCAAACAGAGCACACAGAATTAAACTGGCATAAGGAATTATACAAATAAAGAATAATAATGTATTATACACGATTAAAATATTAGATTTAAATCTCCATCCGCTACGCGTCGGTAGACAACACAACCTCTATCTAAAATCGACTACTTTTTTCCCTTGTATGATTGGTAACTATTATTTTTAATCCAGTCATTATATAGAGACTGAAGAAGGTGTTTGTCTTGCAAAAGTAGTCATGATTTTGGTTAGTATAATATGTTGTAAAGTTCGGGGCCCGTTGAGAAATCCATCAAATTTTCGACCTTCAGGGCGGCATCACGAATCACGATTCGCCATCTTGGATGAAGGGTACAAAAATTTAGTTATTTTAGGATAACGAAACTCCTCAACAGTCAATCCTACGACAAAAAAGTTGAAAAAAAGACTGAATTCCTTGATTTTTTTATGGCAACACTTTTTTCCGCAACGGGTTACGAGTCACAGTGGTGGATATGTGCAATTTTTTTATAAAAATTGACATATTCCTCGTTTTTATTTTAAGAAATGATTTCTAGCTAGTCGCTCATACTTTGTTTGTTTTTAATGGTTCAGGTAGCTTAATCGTAGTTCCTTCGCCATCTTCGTGATTGTCCTTGTCATCATCCTCTCCGTGGCTCGCACATTACATGCGGCACCACATGCCTTCTGGCAACTAAATGTAAGCGGGAGATGGTTTTCTCGACATTATCACTATAGTAGGCCCATTCGTACCAAATCTCCAGCGCCACTCGGATGTATTTTGTGGGCTTCGACACCATTTTTGGACTTTCTGGTATGCCCTATAAGCGTGTGCTACCGTGCCGAGTCCGTTGTTGGTGATGAAAAAGCAAGATTAAATGATGAATTTGGGAAAAAAATTGCTATTTCTGGGCTAGATGAAACAGATTGTGTGCTAGATGATACAGATTATGGACACATGAAGCAAGGATGGGGCGATTTGTAGATACCTGTCTAGGTGACCAAGGCAGCCAAGACTCTGGCAATCTAATCCAAACTGTGGGAACCCGTGGCCTCGCCCGTGGCGATAGATGAATGGCACCGAGGTTTGGTGTCGCTAACGGGGCCTCTGGGAAATAGGGTGACATCTCAGAGTAAACAACCTTAGCCCTGTGCAGGGGGCACCACAGGACTGGACCAACCCCTTTCCCCGTCACTCGTAGAAGAAGGAAAACTTTTGGCCTTCTCCGTAGAGGAGATCAGGGATAGGAAGAGTAATCTTTAAGAACCTGAACGAAAAAGGTGAGAACCATGAGTCGAATATGGGCCCCTAGGAATCGGAGACATCGGTCAGACAAGCCTACAAACGTGGTGGAGTGTTCAGTGGCATACCATGGAGTCAGGGGACTATCAAATGAAGGATTAGTCCCATAGGATGCCCATAACGAATCTCAAGTACCTCGACAAAATAAAAGGATGACTTGACAAATCGTTGGTAGTGGATATCAAGGTATTTCTCACTCATGCTGCCATCATACAAAGCAATGAAAAACTGTGCTCCAGCGTATTCGAGTTCTTTAGCTTTGGCATTCGGATCTTTGAAGAGGACAATTACTTGATTGAATTTTTCATTTTTCCAAGGAGCTGAAGCTGAGCTGAGGTCGTCCCACAGCCGCTGAAAGCATGTGTCAAAACAGGATCTTTCCGGCTGCTTCTTCTGGTTTCAACCCGTTCGACGAATACACTATTTCAGCATTATTTTCTCTCCCAGGCTTACGTAGAAAGATGTCCTTGGATGATCCTTATGCTGTAAGCAGTACTTAAAGATCCAGGAAGAACTAACTTTTTGTATCTTTCATCTAATATGGCGGATCGCACCGACCCCCCTCCCCCCTAAGGTCGAAGACTTGGATTGTTCATCAAGGCCTCTAACTAAACAATATTTAGCAAAATCATGACTTCTTCACCTTTTGCAAGGCAGAATTCCCTGATGATTGAACTATTTTTGAAATGTCCGGCAACATGAACGTATAAAATTAGTAGGTGCTGTTTGCAAACACAAAAATTTACATTTGCAGCTGGCCTTCGGCGTAGGCATGAGATTTTAATGATTATGAGGGTTTTGATTTCAAATTTGACCGGGGTGTTATTTTTGACAGTCGAGGAAAAATCATATTTGGCCTATGAGATGATAATAATTATGACCTTAAGTATAATTATTCTGATGGTTGATTGGAATTCAATGAAAAAATGAGAATATCAGCCGCCTAGGACTAGCTATCCACATTTGCTACGAATTCTAGTTTCTTCTCTTATACTACTGTAGCAATACTGAACAATAAGGGATTAGGAATGCTATAAGGGTTTTGAATTCAAATTTGACTGGGGTTTCATTTTTGACAGTCAAAGAAAAGTCATATCTGGCCTATTAGATAATAATAATTATGACTTTAAGTGACGGTTGATTCGAATCCAATGAAAAAATAAAATATAATAGCCGCCACTCTGTTCTTCTTATAATTTTATAGGACAATATAGTGATACCTACTGAAATACTCATTAATAACATTCTTGCCATGACTATTTGCTTTTGGATTTGGTAGACTAATAATATACCTATAGATACATTAGATTCTGGAGAGGAAATGTTGATAAGATGAAACATATTTGACAATAAGATGTAATTTCTAAAGAGCTATTAGGCACCTAGGACTAGATATCCACATTTGCTACGAATTCTAGTTTCTTCTCTTACACTACTGCAGCGATACTGAACAATAAGGGATTAGGAATGCTATAAGGGTTTTGATTTCAAATTTGATTTATCATTCAAAGTAAATCTTTGGAACAGTGCACGTTTTAATAAAAGGTGATATACTTACTGCACTTTGTCCGAGGAAAATTCTCTTTCAATTGTCCGAATTTCCCCTCTCTATACTAACGTCGTAAACACTACGGTACTTTTGGAAAACTCTACACTATGGCCCATCCAGAACTGTCCCAAAGCAATGTGCTTGGTGCTCGTTAAAGCACAGAGCACTTTTGTGCTCGTGAGCACTGTGCTCTCAAGCACCTTTTTGAAGCAGTGCTTGGTGCTTAGTGCTTCGAGCATTTGACGAAAAGGTTCAGTCCTTGAGCACAAGCATTTCCATGCTTACTACTTGTCGAAACATGAGAGAACTTTTGATCGCCTCCATATATGCATATCATCGAAAAATCATAGTTTTTTAGAATGTGTTGCGGAGAAAAATGAATTTAGGTCTCAGCGCAGTATAGATAGGAAAGTTCTATTTCTATCTTATCTGTCGAGTAATATTTCATGAATGAATTGAGAACTGAAGGTAAAGGTAGGCGGCTGGGTTAACAAACAAAAAGTAAATAAATACAAAAAGCTCAAAGTCATATCTACACAATGTTCATGAAATGAACAACAATGGTAGATTTCGGGAGAAAAATAACTACTTTCCTAGCTAATTCCACGCAGAACATTGAATTACATCCTCCCGAAATCTATGCATCGACTCGTATAAACGAATACGGCTACAAGTGAATCTTTCCTGAATGCCTATTGATTTCGATTTAGCCAGTCCATGCTAGACACCTACAGATTGGTTTCAAGCTCTTCGACTCTCATCAGTGCAGAGCAGTCTCCAGCGAGCAGTCCTAGAGGACCGTCGACTAAGCGGCTACGCGAGACTGCCCTGCACTGATGAGAGTCAAAGAGCTCGAAATTTTCATCTGTCAATTTTACATCTAAATATAGTATTCATGCTTTATTTTCTTTATCTGAAGTTTCCATTTTTTCGGTCAAAAAATAAAAGGGGGGTGGGGGGCATTGAGGGAAAGCACTGTATATCATCCTTTTCAAAAGTGCTTGGGTGCTCGCTACGTTGAATTATTTCTTGAAAGTGCTTAGGCGAGCATTTGTCAATAAAAGTGCTTGGTGCACGAGATTTGGGAGCACTTTTTAGTGTTTAGTGCTCGAAGCACTTTTCGTCAGTGGCATAGCTCTGGGTCCATCCAATTATCACACTAACTTGAGGCTTTGCACATGATTTTCTAATGCAAACATACAATTGGACTCCAACTGAGAATATACTATTATATCAATTTCGAGGATATCAATTATCAATTCTGCAATGAAAAAATCAAAAATATTCACTAACAGACATAAACAGAGACCTGCGAACAATCCAGAGCAATGCGAAGACGAGGTTAGTGTATATGCGCATTTGACAATCGCCATACTCGCCTATCGTTTATGCTGCCAAGGTTTCATCATGGAGAAACGGTTGATATACTCGATAAATCTGAAGCCCCTATATTTTTGTCTTACTTTGTAACCAATTAAAAGGTCTGCGTTTTTTATCAAAAGGTATCAATTGCCTATAAATTTGAAAACACGAAGGTAACAAAATGGCGTCGTATTCCTTATGGCTTCAGAACTGCCTAACTGCATGATAAAATATCGTAGATATCAATTCGATGGTATCTGGTGTGGTACATCTTGTGAATAATATCCAGCAGGGCTCTGATGCTCTGAAGCTCGCAGAATGTCTTTTGAGGCGATTTTTTGTAAAAGTACAAATATTCTGAAAAGCCAAAGTTATTGTGACACCTTAGATGAACTATCATATACCTACTGGTGGGTATATTTATAGGTATTCATACACACATGCATTGCTAGTACATGCACAGAGAAGAGAAGAAAATAGAACATGGACAAATTGCAAGAAAAGTGAATTGAACAAACACTGGTCACACACTGACACAAAAAGTGATTTTTAAGCTGATGACATGAATGACAAATAAGTGAGCTGTATGGATTCATTATTATATATCGTAAATTTTGTGTTAAAGAAATATCGATTCCACATGGAATTCTACATTATTTTTATTCATTTGATGGGTGAGAATTTTGGAAATGATTGTAGATATTCATTCATGCATAAAGATTAAACTTATTGTTGAAAGTAATACCTGGTTATTGAGTTATTGAATATTTCACCATGTTTACCAGGGATGAATAATATCCTGATTGAAAATGTATTTAGGTGATGCTGAGGGTGGACAATTCATAAAAAAATTTGGAGTACAATATACAGGTACCTACTTGAAGTCATACATGAATCAGAAGTTTCTCTGATGACATTTTTTGGCTTCATCTGAGTATCTATGAAACTATGTATGTACTTATACTATGGATAACATTGAGGTTTCATTCCGAAACGATTCAGATAAGATACAAACAGTCCCATCCTATTACAAAAATATTGTGGGGGATATTTCCATTCCAGAAATAAACAGTTCATATTATATTCAATACTCTTAGCTCTCCATAAAAAGCCAAGGCAGTCTTATTTTACCGAGCTAACGTATATTCTAATGTACCTAAGTGAATGGATCCTCCTCCTCGAGGATAATTTTCAACATGCTAAATGACTTATTGAATTATCCATCCATTGAACAGATGGGTGAAGGTCGACCTTACTACTTCGGATCCTCTATTATAATGAGTAGCAAAGCAAGCACATAGCTACTCGTCGACTGAGTAATGAGTAAGTATAAACATTCCAATAATTGGTGGAGGATCTCGTTCGAACAAAGATCATCATTGGATAATCTGTATACGTTCATCTCTTGTTCTGAATCATTCTGGATTGACGTCGCCGACATACACACGAAATAATTATAAGTACTTTGTTTGTTTTGACGTAGTTACTCACCTGGGTGACGGGATTTTCTCCCGGCCTGTAGACCACGTTGTGCAACGGCCTCTTGCGGCCGACGTAGTTGACGCACACGAACTCCAGCAACGACGCGTATATGAAACACATGCACACGCCGTCCCATACGTTCATCGCCGTCAAGTTCGACACGACCGGCAACGTCGAACGGAAGCCGTTGGATGTCGTGAAAAAATTGAGCATTGTCGTTACACCTGAAAATGACAGCCTATAAACTGAGATGTTTATAATTCCTCTGGTGTGCCCACTCTTCAATTGTTTCGTCAGACTAGCCCTCGATATACACAATTGAATGCGAGTTCGGAACGTGGGGTTTTCATATTCGATGATAGATGGCATGACGATGGACAATTTCTGGAAAAATATTAAAATGCGTTTCGAATCTCATTATGAAGTTGAACTAGACTCCCAATTATGTGCTTTCCTTCTTTCGGGACCTGAAGAGTCCCAGGACGCGAAAGAGAGGGCGCAACAAATAATCCGTGATCTTGACTTTGACATGTCTGTCACGAGTGTCATGTTCCCGGCATAAACAAGAAAGTGAGTAAATAGACTTTTATGACAGGATTTTCTTGAGTTAGGATTTCGTATCGTTCATGAATTCACCATTGAAATTGTGAAAATGGAAGAGTGAATGGGTCATGATGTGTCATGATGCCTGTAAATATGGTTTGGAAGGAAGATTTATCAAGATTTTCCCACGCCTCGGTATTTTTACAAAGTAGGCGATATCGAGAGATTTCGAAATTCCTTTCAGTAGGAAGTGATAACACCATTTGACTTTCTATACATCTATCAATGAACTGAACAAAGCGTCAAGTATTATCACTAAAAATCTTTGAAATCTCAAGGTTGGTTATAATAGTATAAGTGCCGGCAACAGATTTCTACCGTCATCTGATAACGAAATAATGTAATTTCCCTAAGGAAAGTAAAAACATTGTAGTTCATCGAACGGCACCTGTGCCAATAACTATCCTGAGACATTGCATTTCTTGTGCGGAAATTTGCACTCGATTTCGCGATTTTATAACGAGATGAGAATCATGCCATCCGATACCAATTGAATGGTAGATCCCAAAAACCTACCTGTGCTACGCCTCAGTCTGAGCCAAATCCATATGCGGCACAGCGATTTATTTGCTCCTATTATTCCGGATATACTTCCGTCATGTGATGACGAGTTGAAAAAATAAGTAAATGAAAGGGTTTTCCCCTCTGCGAATATCTGATGTAAGTTAGTGGCAGAGCTTCAATATTTCCGTGAATATTTTGCCCTCAAACATAAATATCATATTGGACTATTATTCATCACAGGTGAGCAAGAATGGTAAAGGTCTCAGCAGGTCGATACCTACTGTGCTGAATGTAATGTAATTGTGAATAAAATAATATGCTCAATATGTTGAGCAAATAATCCAGAATATGTCTGTTTACTTGATGAACACAATTTGAGAAAGATTTCATACAATGTGGACCAAAATGAGATGAGAAAATAATGCACCAAGAAATGAAAAGTAAGGTTATGATATTTCAAATGCTACAACTAAATTTAATAACTGAACTGAGTGTTTTCCCTAAAAATAAAGGAATAGCCGAAACTGTTTTCGGTGACACCACGGAGGCAATACAATCGACATTGCGAGACTTGTGAGTGGCAAAGCCGGTGCTTGAGACCAAAGCGCGGATATCTGGTAAAACCTCGGGTAAAGCGACAGAAACAAAGTGAGTCCTTTTCAATTATAAAACCCTTCAATTTCCATTAGGCATACTACTAGAAATAATGGCAGAGTTAAAAAACCTTCTGGGACAATGAGATTCTCTTAATGCTCGTTTAGCTAGTTTCGAAAAATTCCTGAATGACATAGTTTGTGCGAAACAGATGAAAATCAACACCTACTCGCGAGAAGAATGATTGAGTTAGAAACTAAAAGGAATAGACAGGAGGGCTGCTCATTTATGGAATTTGACAGAACTTCAGGGGTTCATTGAGGTACATGATGCGATATTGTTGTTGCTCAAGTGGCAGACAAATTTCAAATACGGTGAAACCATGAATCGAAACATGACTCAATGCTTTCAAAGGCTAAGGCAGAAATCACAAAGCACCGAGAAGTGGATATTGAAAGATTCGATTCAGATGTGGAACCTACGGAATCAAATACGAAAAATGGCCTGAATTCCGATATATATATATTCTTGCAATTGGAGAACAAAAGAAATGAATCAGATCCTATTGAAAAATAACTATTATTTGCGGTTCCATCTAGAAGGCGAAGCTAAGCAAATAATTGAGGTTATTAGCTTTTCGGCCACCAACTACGATGTAGCTTGGAAATTAGTGTATGAAATATTACGGTAATTGAAACCTATAAGTCTATAGCTATTTGAAGCAGTTAGTAAACATGCCTACCCTGACCTCATCCCCATCAGCAGGATTGAGAAATCTCAGTAATAAAATGTCCAAGCATTTGAACTCGCTCAAGGAAATGGGACAACCCACAGACGAGTGGGAATATCTAGTGATTTTTCTCATGTGTGAGTAACTCGACAAAAATAACAAACAAGCGTGAGAGGAATATATCGAAGGTTATATTTTTGATTGTGATTTCAAGAAATTCAACAGATAATAATCCGATACGCTAGAGAATATTGAAAGTCACGAAAATCTCTGAATCATGAAAAACTGAGTGAGACGAATAAACCTCAACAATCTGAACAATCATGTATAAATCACAGCCTTCAATCCAAATAACATACGCAACATTTCAATTGGCATGTGGGTTCTGCAAGGGTTACCATTACAGTACAAATTGTAATGGATACTGTGAATTATCTGTGAATAACCGTAAAATAAGGTGTAAAACCAATACATTGTCTTTGAATTGTTTGAAATCCAATCGTTTAAGCAAATACTATCGAGCAAGTTCTTACATCGAGCATTTCGAACACAAACATTTTCCCGATTTGGAGTGTTAGCGAGCTTGTTGAAGAATTTCTTGCTCATAACCAGACTTCAATGCTCAATCTATTGGCCAGAAAGGGAAAGAGGTTTCACACTAGAATGTTCGTCGTGGCATATCGTCAGAAAAGTAGATTTTCTGTTGAATATACCAAAAAAGAATTTATTTTTCTTCAAATAGATAGGTGATGCTAATTCTCAATGTATTTTTTATACTTTTGTTTCAATTTTTGCATGTTCATAATATATTCCTTTTCAAAACGATCATACCCATCAATCAAAAGTTTCAAATTTGAACGTAGGAAATTTTACTGACCTCTAATCACAGATTTGTGATTGGGTTTTCTCAATTCAGAATTTTCCACATCCTCTATGATGAATATTAGTTCATCGAACCACTGACAAATAACAAACTTATTGACTAGGTATACTAGACGTCACGTGTACTGTTGCAACTACACTAAATCAGCAAGTGTTAAGGGGTAATATGTCTCTACTATCTACTGTCGAAAATAACCATAAGAACAATTCAAATCATCAACAGTTGAAAATTCGATGTGAATATTTCAATAGCATATTGTTGGCATTGCAATAAGGCTTTTTCTTCATATAAACATGAACGTGACCTGAAATGCACCCTCTCCGAGCCACAACCACTGTAAGTGAGCTAAAAAAAGATTACCTATCTGAAATTGTGACTAACATAACGGATCAAACCTTCTGGAAATTGGCATGCCTCTGTCTTTTCAGACACTATTCAACATTCCCAGTAAGAATAAATGGAGAATATAAAAAATGTGGCATTTCTCTTCATATGAATACAATTATTGTAAGAATTTGATACTCAACTACATAATAATTTTTAATTATTCTAATTAGCATTTCATATAGGAAGCTCAACTCACCAATCATAACTCTAGCAGGCACTGCGTTCCATTCTAACCAAAAAGTTATAAATGATGACGTCACTAATATTATACCTGGTATGAATACTGTTGTGAAATAAAACGCTCGATCTCTGGTGAAGATTAATTCTACCGTAAGACAGCTATAGTTGCCTGAAAGAAAGAGAAGAGAATTATTGATGAATTCAACAAACAAATATGAAGACATGGATCTGGTGATTATTTCTTTAGATTTCCTATAGCGAAATAGCAGTCCAGCATTGAATTTTGTGATGAAAATTGAACGATTCGATCATATTACGAAATAATATATTTGTTTCGAGCAAATTTAACAGGAATTTGCATTTACCGAATGAATTTCAGGAAAGGTAAATTTATACTCAGTTCAAACAACTATTTCTGATGAGAAAAGTCCTAAAGTGCACAGCAGGAGCCTATATATCTCTTTTCTAAGGTTTGAGTCTGTGTTGCTATTGCTTTCGAATGTCAACAAATAAGCAGGTGGTTCAAAAATACCAGTAGATAGCAATAATTGTTTTGATACCGATATTCATGAATAACAAATAACAACGAATTGAATATACCTATTAATTTCCTCCAGTATTCCAAACACAACTCCTCTCAGAAACTACAACTATACGTAAGTATTGTTCATTATGGGTTTTGGGTAATAATAAGGTAGATATAATCTAGTTGACGGTAGATATGTAATCACGTTGACGGTAATCAAGGATTTATGCAGGATCTTCTGTTTCATCATGGCGTTTTCTTATGGTAGGTTAATTGAGGAAGGCAACATTGAGCTTATCAAACATTTGGAGAGTTGAGAATAATAAATTATAAACAATATAGTTTGCGCCATCGAAGATTAATTGGATATTTGCTTGCCTACGTTCACCATTATATGGCAAGATTCATTAGAAATACATACGGAAATTGTAGCCGAACTCTAGCTGTGGTGTTAGGAATATCGAAAGTATTCAACACCGAGGACTTCTCCTCAAATTACCATCATACGGCTTACCACCGCAGCTATGCCATTTTCCATCCAAGTTCATATTTCCTGTTTCAAACTGTGGTCTTCAATGAAAAACAGTTATCCTGAAATGTTCAGCCATACATCTTGCACATACTTTTGTTAAAAATAATGGTATAGTATAGTTTCGTAGTAGGCTTATGATAATGGTGAGAAAAATATCTTTTTCGACGACTATAACACAAGATTGCTCTTGTTCTACTGTGTTCGATACATCAATGGGGTACTTGGTATGTCATCAATTCTATTTCCGTATTTGATATCACAAATGACTCCATTGTGTTGGGAAATGCCGCTGTCATCTATTATAGCCGTAGAAAAATGATAGTGTATAACTTGATCGGAATGCTAATTTCCTACTCGAATGATTGCAGCATTCGCCTATGGCTCATACTGCAAACTTCATTCTCGTAGGAAATCACTATCATTCCGTGCTCGTTGATCAATATACTATTTTTGTCGACATCTACGAAAAATCACATTTTTCGTCGACTTCCATAAAAAATCACATTTTGAGTTCTAATTTCCGAACGAAAAGCCAACTATTTCCGAAGGAAAGTACTTTACGTTCGCAGACAAAAAAATCGTTCGCAAACACTTTCCGTCCGCTGCAAGGTTGCCAGTTCTACTGAATTTTTAGTAGATCTCCTGATTTGCATATTGACCAACTGAAACATTTCATAACCTACTGAATAATATTTTAACACTTATCAATCTTTAGTTCTTCACATACAATTATGAATTGCATGATATTTCGGCGCGCTCTGTTTGAATTCATTTTACAAAATGAGTAATAAATACACATACATTTATTTATTATTTTCAAAATAGGTTACTTTTCTGTGTACGAAAAAAAAATAGATTTTGACGTCATAGGTTTATTCCATTATTCTTTCTTGAAATTCATGTGTATAGCATAAAATAGATCTGAATTTTTGACAAGGTACTTACTGATGGTATAAAAATCGAACTGGCAACCCTGGTCCGCGCGAAGAGTAAGTTGACAACAAATGATATTTGCTATTGTCAAATTAATTATTCACGAAATTCGATATATTTCACGTGTGAATAGGACCGTGACGTGAATATAAGTGTTCGAGGTCGACGGAACAATGTAATATACGCACCTTGGCGTTAAACTGTTTTTTCTGTGACGGGAAAAAAGTTTGGCATTTCATCTCTGTTGGCAGGTTATAAAATGTCACTTTTCATAAATTACTTTTTTCCCGTGGGCAAAAAGTGAGTACTTTTTTCCCGGATATATATCACGTATATATACTCTGTTAATGGCTTTTGTTGTGCTATAGTTCCGAAAAATGAGTCAATAATACCGTCTCCGAGAAAGAACTGCAAATCCTTTTATCTTCCATTCGACTTCGCGGTTTCGTATATTACTAAACAACTACTGAATTCGCAATTTTTCAAAATCAAATCACAGAATTGAACTGACAGAAATGACATCAGATATTTGATTACTTCAAAAGAATGATAAAGATGCCTATAAAAAGCAGGTGTCCCTACTACTAAAAACTTGAAATTTCACGTCGATAATTTTCAGATTTCGAAATAATGTAATATCTTCTCAATATTGATTCGTCCTTCCTTCTGTCACAGAAAAAAATAGTGTATTATACACGGGAAAAATATTAGATTTTAGCTCACGGTTTTTTGTCCCCCTCCGCTACGAGTCGGGAGACAACACAACCTGGAGCTAAAATCTACAACTTTTTTCCCTTGTATAATAAATAACTATTATTGTCTCGCCTTATTGTTAGCCTTATTGTTAGGCCTTGACTATATATATCACTGCTATAGATAACAACCATCAGCTTGCTTGACAACGTCAAAATTAGGTATATATACTGGGTATTCTTGGAAATATTAGTGGGATGCAGTCTGGACCAATGAATTAATTAAATTTCTTCGTTATTTGTCGTCGAGCATATTGTAAAATTCTGAAGAATGAATCTCTTCGAGAGATCAAAGAGTTTTACTATCACGGTAACTGCAATATTCGTACGATAATTTGTATATCTAAATTATCTATGAACATTACGATTCTGTTAATTACTGAATGTATACGTAACAAATTAAATTCGGGGGAATATTAGTTTATCGGAATCTATAGTCATTACTAATTACTACTACTACTCAAGTCCGAAAATGAACCACTAGTGCATAACATTTTGTATGTATCACGCCTTTGATACATAAATAACTATTGACGGATACTCCAAAAGTTACTGGCGAAGTCGAGTGGTAGAACTCATGTAGAGCTGGCCATTTTATCAGTTCGCCAGAAATTTTCAATTAAAATTAGAAAAAATATTGTATGTAACACGTCAGGAAACGCTATTGTGACAGGTTTCCTAACTGCGATTACGTAAATATCTGATACCTATACATGATATGATAGTCCACGGTGCATCCATATTTCTGTTCAATGAAAATTTAGCGACACTGATAAATGATGTTCATTGGACGGAAAATCAGAGCCATATATAACACCCACTGAGGTAGGCTTTTCCGTTTTTCCAGTATCCGTTTGGTTCCCGCTTCGAGTTGGAAAAGGCAGAAGGTGATTGTCTGGCAGTGAGAGGTTACGTACGGTTGGCTGAACAAATGGAGATAGTCAAGAGGTGGAAAAAGAGAGCGTATTTAATCATCTCGTTGAAATAGAAGTTCATTATCGTATATTTACTTTGTTTTGTTCCGTACGGAATATTCACACCAATCTGATTGAATTTGAATGTCTCCGTGATGCGAAATATATCAGATTCACATTTTTTTGAAGTTCAATCACCAGATACATATAAAATTTTGGAAAAAATCAACAATCCACAATCTATAATGAACATTCAGGACTTTACACGTGTTGATTACATTTTTTTGTTATAGGGAGATTACTGACTTAATTTTCGAGCTGTGATCGAAACTAATTAGGACACCTTTTATTGGCTCAATTATGAAAAGTTCTTGGGATTTTCTTTCTTATACAAACTAACGCGACGTATTATCAGTTAGGATCACCTATTGTCACACATGTTTCAATTTTAATAACTCTACGTCTGAATATAGGTGTGTTTGAGAAAATCAGAAACTGAAGCTCTCAGGAGTTAATTCATATTATTAATGTGCATATGGTTTCAAAAATTTTCGAAATACATGATGGTCTTCTCGATATGATTATGAAGAAAATGATTCTCGGCCATTTGCTATGGTCTTCCTGATGATACATATTAGTCATATCAATTTTTGAAGTTTCTGTTATAGTTTAGAAGTTCTTAACAATCTTTATATTTGCTTCCAGTTTACAATGTTGAAAGTCCCTGAACGATCCATGTGAGGCATCGTCATATTCTTGAAAAAAATTACCCAAACTGATAGTTTTTTCTGATTTAACTCGTCAAAGGTAAGTACATTGAGTGTTTTTTTTATGTTCTGGTTCCCACGAAAAGGGATATCCTGTAATGTTCAGAGAACATCGTGAGAACCAAGGGAAAAAAGGTAGGAATTGGTGTTCTTCTTTAATTTCTGGAGGTTATATGCCTCGGGGAACAACTCCCTATTTGTTCTTATACATGCATATTTTATTAGGGGAGTTTCCATGAATTATTTCCCAGCATCACATGACAGTTTCACGAAGTGCCAGATTGCAAATTGAGATATGTTTTCATTCTGATTACACATATTATTATTTGTTCTGAACCTAGTTACTTTGAAACTTTTCAGAAATATTAAATGATTAAATTTCATAATTGCGACCACAGTGATTCCTAGCTATCGACCTATTACTGTTGTCTCATTCGCATTCGTTTTTGAATCATCTGCCTAGCTATATATATAGAACTCGAGCAATCGAGCTCCGACGCACTATATACAGCGTGTCTGACTTTAAAGCCCCCCCCCTCTATATCTCAGTAATTAGTCATGCGATTCTAATCAAATTTGGTGAGGTATGAATAACCATCAATATGATCAGTTTAACAGAGATGCACATTATTTTGGACAGCGTCGTGCGTTTTTATTGAACTAAAAAGGGGTCGATTTTTTATAAAATCATATTAGGAATTATTTTACAAGAAATCTAACCTCATATTATTGTTCCTCATACTTCCGAACCTCCATATGCAAAAAATCACCTAATTCCGAATTAACAGGATTGGCTTCATTTTTTTCATTTTCAGTCTCCAATAATTAGTGACTTCAAATCCACTACGAATTTTGGAACGTTTAATGGCTCTGGTAGGTGGAAAATCATGATTTGAAAGGAAAAACTGGTTATACTTTTTTTTGTTGAACTCACCGTTTCCGAGTCAATAATTATTACGCTCGCAAAAATACTGTTTAGATGTGCCTGTTTTTCTTAAACCCTTCATCTTATGAAAATTCACATTTGTGGATTGGAAACCGGGAAGAACAATATTATGAGGTCAGTTTTCCTGTGAAAAAATGCCTTTTATGATTTAATAAATAACTGACTGCTATTCGTTTCAATGAAAATGCACGGCACTGTCTAAAATGATGTTTGTCTTTAAAGAACTGGTCATATTGATGTTATTCATACCGATACAAATTTGGTAAAGATCGCACGACTGATAGCTGAGATATAGAGGGGGCGGGGCGTTTGAAATGAGACACGCTGTATATATTATTGCCCTACCCTCTGTATATAACCCTTTTCTCTAACGCGACCCGCTTCGAAAATAGTCTCCGAGAATTGACTTGTGGTGAAAAGTACTTATACATATATACAGGGTGCACAATATATAACGAATAAATTCATTTTGTGAATTATCAGCCATTTTCGAGAAAAATCCTGAAACACGACGTCGCTCTATGTTCTTGAAAAGACACTCTGTGACATAAAGAAAATATCCCCTTCTTCACTCCCCTCAACGTGACAAACACTTGCCCAAATTTTTTTAATGAAATAGGGAGTTGAGTCATACTTCATTTTGAAGTATATCTTAATAGCCATATCATGCAAATGATACATTGCTAGAACTCTCGGCCTATTGTATGAAAATAATTCTGACTACAAGAAATAGAAACATTACTCGAAAAACAGTTATTCTTCTGCAAGTTCAAGAAGGACATACAATTTTTACTCTACTGTAGCATCTGACAAACAATAACGGGAAAATAAACCACAAAAAATGATGGGGGCATCAAATATATAGCGAATTCAATAGTCTACTATTGATACCTTTTAACATTTTGAAATTATATTTTTTGTTTGACGCATTAATGAGATTGAAAAAAAAGTATATGACTGTATAGACATTTGAATACACTTCAAAATGAGGTCACACAACCCTCTATTTCATTTGAAAAAATTGGGGGGGGGGGGTAGCGAAGAGGGGGGATTTTTTATGTCACAGAGTGTCTTCTCTAAAACATATGAATCGACGGATTGCAGGGTGTTCCTTGAAAATGGCTAATAATGTAGAAAATGAATTTATTCGTTAAATATTTATGGTGCGCACTGTATATAACCTGCTAATATTATTTCACTAGAAAGTGGCACACTAGTAAACATTGTTTTGGACTTCCAAAATCTGGGAATGAATAAGTGGAAAAGGTAATGATCCTAGGCTCTGACTGAAATATGTTTTCCCTTTCAATATGTCGAATTTCAAGAAATTTTCACAGTAGTTGATATTTGCCAAGTTTGTATCACCACTTTGCTTTAATGAAAATTTGCCGTGGTGAAGTTTTCCATATAGTCAAAATAATAATATTGTTCGCCAAAATGTTTTTCTTCAGCAAGGCTTCGCGGCCGGGTCCCCACGGCAGTTACGACACTATGTTTCACCACTTCACCTTCTCCTAGCCCCACTATCGACGCTCGTGGCTCGAGTCTGAGGGGTGTTTTTATTGAGTTCATTGTGCTGAGGTTTTAGAAAGTAGAAAGTTAGAAAGTAACGTCGCAACGTCCTCCGGCATTTCGTAATATCGGTCGATCACCTTCAATGACGAGGTGGCCGAGTGGTTAAGGCGTTGGACTGCTAATCCAATGGGCTCTGCCCGCGTGGGTTCGAATCCCATCCTCGTCGAATTTTTTTTAATTTCAAAACTCGGAATCTCGTTCGGATTGCAACTTATATAGTTCATTATACAGGCTCGTATACAGGGTCTTGTAACAGAAGAAGCATTACTGGTCTTATTCGAAGAAAAATGTATGGATGTTGCATTATTACGTTATAATGAAACACTGAGCAACCCCATAAACAATTTCAAATACATAATTTGTCGTTGAATTTACTATGTGGCGTATGTGAATTTTTAATAATTGTGAGAAGATGCAATTTAAGGTTTACAGAATGTTCATGATGACGTCACTATCTGAAGTAGAGTGAGCCAATTCCATTAAATAATCTTTGTGAACACTCAGAATGTATTATATTGAATCTAATCCTGATAAATAGATAGTCAAAATTCCATTCTCAGAGGGTGAATTTCGAAAATAACAAGATACGCCCTATAGTGAATGTGATAATGATCATGTTCATTCAAGCCCGATGAGGTTATGGAGGAAAATACATACAAAAGGCAATTCAGTTGCAGTCTATAAAATCAAAAATGAAGAGGAATTATATGCATATACCGAATGAATAATTCAGAGAGGAAAATTCTGAGGATTTTGGAAGAATGCTAGGTATATTCTTCGTTCTGAATGATGGCAAAATAACGGCCAACAAAAAAATTTGCAAAGTTTATCGCCCTGTAACTTGTTCATTTCTTGTCCGATATTGGTGAAATTCAGATCAAATCGTAGATTTATGTTTTGGAGTGTTGACCTGAATTTGAGTTTCGAAAAGAGGCTGATGACTTGGTTATTATACAGGGAAAGATACCAGTTACTATTTCAAGCTTAACTTCTTGACTTAACTTATTACCCCAATGGTTTTTGATTCACATCAAAAACTTCTTTCACAGAGAAGATACAAGTGTTTTAAGGAAGTATGGATTTTTTGAATTTGCAGTATACACCTGAACGTATCGATTAACATCTAGGAAACACATCTATGAGCTGATATCAATTGTTTTCTCCTCGTTTTTTTAGCGCTTTGTTTTATTCAAGCTACCAAATTTACGATCCATTTCATCAGACTAACGACACAAAGTGCTCTGGAAAGAGTTTTGGAGTCTAGTAAATCATCATCCCACTTTTTTGCACACAAGTCAGTCACTGGAAACCATCACATTTTCTTTCTCCATCTGTCTACTCCACTGAGATCCATTATAATTTTGATATTTTAGTCAAGAGCCGACGTGAATATTGCTCAGTAAATAAGATAACTGAGAATTTACAAGTTGAAACCTGCAAATTCCACAATTGAACGAATTTGCATTTTAACGCCTTAAAATTGTTCGGCTAGATTTTGTTGTCACATTTTGCGTTCGGTAAAACTACCAGTGACAAGCATTTTTTACCAAAAAGAAGCTCATGAATACTACTGGTACTGGTACTGGTACTGGTGGGGGACGTTCCCACGTCAGCAACTAGTCCCCAATGGGACCTTTTTGCAAACCCCAAGTGTTTTCAATGACTGATGTGGTTCGCTCAAGAGAGCTGGCTAACATCCTTTTCAGGCACCGCCCATCAGCTCTCTTTCAGAGTTTTTCAGCTGCGTTTTGTAGGCTAGTAATGTCCTCACTACCCATATGTGCAGTGGCAGGCCTGCTAACTATCCTCGTTAACCCCCGAGATCGAGGTCTACTAAGCAGCTGGCCCGCTCTCACGCTCAGCTGGTAGTTTTCCACACCCACCTACATACACCGTCCTACTTCTTCTCTGATGACCACATCATCATATCTTTCTGCGTGTTCTGTGTAGGTTTTGTTACTAACTCCATGCGCCACTTTAGGAGCAACTTGACAATATTTAATTCGTAAATAAAATATTGCACAAATCATGAATACTAAATATACCGAAAAAATGATAAGATTCGATGATATTGAGTAACACCATATTCCATATTCGCAAGTTTGTGTCGAACTGTTTATACTATTTTTTCACAAAAATGCTATTTTATATGGGCGTATTTCATATCCGCCGATTTGCTTCGAAATATTTCACTTAGCACTTCAGATATACGCCTGAATGGAAAAACAACGTAACATCTAAATTATCCGGAATTTATATACGCCAATTTGAGAGCAAATGAACCAACTCTGGCGCTATTTGTTACACCTTGAACACAATTTTCGCCTTTTTCTACCTTCAAAAGTCTATATTTTCAACTCAATTTCAATTAACTCGCTTTATCGGGGCAACAATTATTATGGAAAGTGGACGTTATGTTCAGTTTGGTCTAGGTACTGTAGGTAACCTATCTATGTCACTCAGAATTATTTCAGAAACGACAAAATGATATATTTTCTCCTGTTGGTCTATTAGTCAATTTCAAATTACAAAAAAATATTTTCAGCAAGATAGGGTCGTTTCTTTTTGTCGCGGTTCTTGGACAATCTATTTTTTACGAGAAAGACTGTGGAGAAACTATGTGAAAAATAGTCATAATAAAATACAACTCTAAAAAAGTTGACGCATGAAACTTTTCCTCATTCCTCCAAAGAATCGACCTCTCCGGATTTGCTGTTTTTCTCGCCAAAGCTTTCATCTCCTGTTCGCCTATGAATATTTCATCGCTGTTTTTGTCTGCAAGAAAATGGGGTACTCACCTCGCCAGCTCGACTTAGTCGGACAAATTAGTGTTGAATTATTGATGAGGTAAGCATTAAGGGTCATCAGACTGGGCGACTTCCGTAAGACGTCTTCGCCGTTTTTCCATACGTAGACGAGAGACGTCGTCTCGTAGGATACTGGAAAACAGGAATCATGAGAGGATAATTCGAATAAACAGAAACTTTGTAACCCCAACTGAGAAATAGCCAAAATGCTCTTACTAGAATGAAATGTTAAATACATACAAATAAGCTCAAAGTCATTTCCACAAATTAGGCCGGGATACTAAGTCATGAATTCGGAAATGAATAGTGCTTAGCAGATTATCGTTTCACGTTGTGGAGTTCACCCTTAGGAGTAACATACTGAAAGTCCCCAGCCGTGGATCTTGTGCGTTAGGAGGAAGGGGGGTGGAAAGGGCCTGTTTGACGGTTATTCATCATTATCTCGAAAACTGAGTATTCTAGCAGAAATGTTGCTCCATACAAAAATAAAGTAAATGATATATTCTACAAAAAAGGTCCTATTAATTTTTTTGGCATTGAACCAGGTCCCAGAAGAACCGAGTACGACACCAAGCCTTTGTTAAAGCTTCGACAAAGCCAAATCCTGATTTTGCGACACTTTCCCCTAGCAGAACGGCTGCTCGCTAACAGAAGCTGCTTCAACATGCATCCGTTTTCACAGATCTACGTTTGCGTGATTTACGTACACAAGTTTGGGTCCCTTCCGGATGGAATGGTTCCGTGAGTTCCGTTGTTATTCCTGTTTTGCGCAAATATCTCTAAGAAATAAAACAATATGGGAGCAGAAAATAATAAGGAGAAAAGTCAAACATTTTTATATATTCGATTTATTATGGAGAGATACAGAATGTTAAAAGAAAAATCGTAGATTTTGGACCTATCTCCACAGACAATTCTCGAAGATTTCATGACGAAAGTGAAAATTTGGTTAGAGGAATGGAGGAAAACGGCAATGAAAACTTTTTCTATTATTTTAGAATGTCGCCTGATATGTTTTATCTATTGCTCGGACTCTTGGACACTAAACTTGAAAAACAACCAAGAACCTTACTAAGCTTTCTTCTCATCACGGACAAATTAAACGGAGGAAACTTAATGTTGAGCCAACTGGGTACGTTGCGATTGCCGACTCATTCGTGTCGATTTCTATTGGTCAATATTCATCACATGATCCAACAGATCCGTGAAAACGGATGCATGTAGCCTGAGAGTTTATTTGCAGGTTTGTAACAATATATGCTTATTTACGTTAGCGTATTGAAGGCTGAAGTGGCGTTCACAACCAAACTTTTTACGTTTTGCTTTCTACGTTTCGTATTCTGATGGGTGAAGCAGAATCTGAAATAAAACGTGAAATAAACTTATTCAAATGTCATTCACAACAAAAAAAATCAACGTGACTTTTCTTTTTACAGCTTTTCTTATTTGCTTTGGTTTTGTCATTTGTGGTTCATCCTGTGATGAAGTTAAATAATCATAACAATAATATCAGATAATCAATAATATTCAAATGGAACTGGTGGTGACGAAAATTCATCCTTATTCAATACTTGAAGAGACAAATCAGTCCTCAAGAAGTTAATAATAAATTGAACAGTATACCTATCTAATATTCCGTAGATTCACGAAAAAATCATGAACAAAAACATCATCATAACTTCCATATATAGAATGTTCTGTACATAGTATTTTCCATTTTTATAACAATATCATTTGTCTATTTCTACTTATCTTCAAAGACGATGGCTTCTTGCAACGCAAAAAGCTGATAATTTTCAGCCTTTTGCGTCATTTCAATCACAGACTTTGCTTCACCAATCAAAATACGAAACGTAAAAAGCAAAACGTGAAAAGTTTGGTTGTGAAGGCCAGATTGTTCAACGTGGTACAACAGTGTTTCGAAGTAGAATGGCCTCTGATCATTGTTCGCAGATTCAGCAGTGGTTTATGTGGATATCAGCAGCAGGAGCCTTCTTCTTGGGGATGGATTAGGTCATGGAGTGTCGGATGGCTTCCTTACACCTGTTACAAGTACGGATCCAGTTGCGCCAGAATCTATCTTGGACGACATATTTTGCGGGTGCACAACTGGTTGTGGTGGCCGTTGCGGGTCAGCATCAATGACGACGACGATGATGATTTCGACAGTGATATCAACTAATTACTCGATATGGAATCGCAAATACTCGTTATATTATAAGACTTCTCACTTGTTGAGCATAACTTTTCACGATGTAGTTTTTTTACATTTTCCAGCTATTTGTATTTTCAAACTCACGTACACCCGCAACTACTGCTTCTATCGAAAAAATGATCTGCACATTTTTCTACACAATTTGATTTGCTTTCATTTTATAGAGGGAAATCTCTTTGAAAGATGTTAAGTTTTCGAGATAATGACGAAAAACCTTCAAATCGACCCTTTCCACCCCCCTCCCGACTAACTCGACTTTTGGTATGTGACTTCTTAGGGTCAACCCTAAAAATTGATATAATAATCTGCTTAGCACTATTTATTTCCAGATTATGTTTCATTTCTGTCTTCGATTCATGGCCTAAATGTTCATAAAATAAACAACAATGGTAGATGACGGGAGAAAAACAACTGCTTTCCTGGTGAATGCCACGCAGAACATTGAATTATATGCCCTCCCAAAATCTATACATACAGGAAATTCCTATAATGTTCGAAGAACATCGTGCGTACCTAGGGATAATTGGGATAGGAGGTAGGTGTTGAAATTCTTTAAAACCTTTCGAAGGTTATAAATTCGTGGGAATACTTTCATTGGCAAATAATTCCTTAGCTTTGCCGTTCAATAGACGAACGAACTTTGGTGAAGTGTTGGTCCACATATTTCAGTATGCTGATTGATGGGCCCGTTCTGACTGGTATTGCTAGTGATGGAATGATAGCAAATATCTCTGAGGAACATTTCCTTCCCGTGGAGGTAACTATAGAAAAGTGAAAGGTCGCCGACTTTCCTACGGTATTCTATATAAAGAGGTCAAATGATAAGTGAGTGACAAGTGTTACATGTTCAAGAGGTTTCGAAATATCTGTGGTGACTAATTTCAATGATATGTTTTCTCCTTTTTCAACTTCGCTGAATATTCAAGGACGGGTACGGACAATGTTTTACGAATATAATAGGGATATCGTTTCGTGGTATTCAAAAGATATATCGATTTGTGATACTCAAACATCATGAGTCACACAATAGATGTTATTACTAAGATTATAATTAATAAGTACTCACTACTTTCCATTGAAAATGTACATTTGGGATCGTCAAATGGAAATATATTCAGACTCCCTTGACACGAAAGTATTAGATGTCTCCTGAAAAGAAAAAGAGAAATGAATTTCATAAACTATAGCAGTAAACCTTTGATGACAATTTTGTATGAAATATCCACCAATTGATAAACATGAGACTATACTCGACTTGAAAAAAAAAATGAAATTTGTGACAGTGCTACATAATTATACTCTTATAAAAATACAATCATCAGGTATATGTTATCCAGGGTGTTTGAAGATTCATTATCATGATTTCACGAGCTTATTTCTCAGGTTAAAATATAACTTTTTCTTCCTAAGAAAATGTGTCCGCAAACGCTTCGTTACCGATCAACCTACAGGGTGTTAGTGAATAAGTGCCATAACCTTCAGGGGGTAATTCCCTGTGTTAATTCAGAAAATAGAGTTTATATAAACATGTATCCTAACTTGCCTTGTCTTTTCACCAATTTCGATATTTTGCTGGATGTATCATGGAGCTTGTTTTGATGTGATCAAATACGAAAAAATATTTCCAGTGGCGTCACAGTGGGATAATTTATCGATATTTACGGTTAAAATCATTGAACGCTACAGGTTTTTCTGACTTCCATATTTTTATTGATTGATTGAACAATTGGAATATCAACTTCCTTATCCTCTGTGTCTCTGTCTGTCTCTTGTATCTCGCTTAGTATTTGAGGAAACAATAAAAATTCTTTGGTCAACCCGCTTTCCGCTTCATAAACTTTTTGTGGCGCGCAGCTGGTATATTTTGAAATACAAAATGAATTAGGTATCAGTTTTCCTCATGAACTTTTTTGTCTAGTAAATAAATGAAAATAATTTTCTGTAGATAGCTAGATTTAATTAAAATTTATTACAAAAAAAGTTTATGTAGCAAAAGAGGGATTGACCCGTGAGAAAAAATATCTCCTTGTAGATTGTCACAATTACTCGGCATACTCTATGATATAAACCCTGAAACCTATGAAGGAACCATGTTTTAAATTTGATCTGAGTATTATAAAAACTGAAAAAGCAACGTATGAAGAAAATATATAAATTTCGTGAAATTTTAACGCTCTGTTGATTCACATGTTCAAAGGAGAAGAAATACTTATTTTGAACAGAAAATAAACCCCTTAAATCTTGATGCTGAAGTCTGCAACATTCTGTATAATTTTGTTGTGACAGAATATGATGAACATTATTTGGGCTTCCTTCTTTTGCCCCTTTCGAAAAACTATTGTGCGCACACCTATGACCATAATATGGGGAATTTAATAACGTCTCTCCATCATACTCACCGCATGAGATAATTAACGCTACCGTTCCTGTATATCCTGAGGGAAAAATGCATCGGAATGATCGGGTCCTTGAAATCGCCGTGCATAATGAAATAGGTATCCGGAATCCAGATGTCGTTGTGATGGTGGATCGCGTTCAGGTAGCTGTACTGGCTCTGATTCGAATAGCGGAGTCTCGGATCGTACCACTGCTGCTGCAGCAAGAATTCCACTTCGTATTTCTGGAATAGAGGGAACAGTCCATTGGATTAAGATGGACAGGAATAACAGTATCACATAATTATTACAACAATGTCGAATAGTCAATAGTCAATCATGGATGATATTCCAGACTTATTAAGTAATTACTGATGAAATCATTCATTCTGCCATGCATTTTATGAACCCAGCACCAGACATTCCATTGATATTCATGTAATATTCCATGCATGTGCTGGTGGGGGAGAATGTATATATTCCCAGAATTATACACAAGGAACATTCCCTGAATTTGCATTCAATTTGAATTCCGATCCCGTTGAAGTTTATATTTTTTATATTTATATGGAGGTTTGAAAGCATGAGGAACAATAATATGGAGTTACTTTTCCAGCAAAAATTCCTAATATAATTCCATTAAAAATCGACCCCTTCTTATTATTTTGAAAAAAAAACACGAGACGATATGCGTCTCTGAAAAACTGATAATATTTATGGCTATTAATGCTGGTCCAAAATTGGTACGAGTCGCACGACTTATAACTGAGATATGGAGGGGGGCCGATTAAAGTGTGTATAATAGTCTAGTTCTATTTAAAAAGATTCACCATGTATTTCGTTCTTTTACTCACACGTTAAGGTCCATGGAAGTCCATTTCAAGCCCTTGATACATTCTTTTATATACGGTGACTCAATAGTATGGGAAAGTGAGATGAGATAAAAACACACAAATTTTCGAGATGATCTAGGCTCATGAGCAGCACATTTCTAAAATATTTTGCGTTATATTGGGCGACTCAAAAATGCGTAGAATATCAAAGTCATACTTTTCCTCATGGGACACCCTGTATTACATCGCATTTTCGGATTCTCCTTTGTGAGCTGATTTCATCAATGTACTTAGCACACTTCGAGTCCAGCGGAAATGATTACAGAAATATAGGGTGTTAAAAATCGAGATTTTTCAATTTTAGGATTATTTGTATCGAAACTGTACATCATTGGTCAAAACGGCTAATATTATGTCTCTATCTTAACTTTTGATCTACTATCTACCGATATTTGATTTGAACAAATACAAGCGGTTTCAAAATTTCTGAAGTGACCAAATTATGAGGAATTCAGCTCTTTTTTTATTGTATAGTGATTATCGTGAATGAATAGCTATTTCTGTATTTAGAGCGCAAAGTGATAGATTGCCGCTCGACAAAAATCTTTGGAGAGCGGCAATAACACTTTGTGCTCGAAATATACACAAGATTTTTTCTACTAACGCAGCTTTTGGAAATAACTACCCTGAAAGTACGAGCGATTGAAATAGTTGAAAAAGTTCTTATCCATATTATCCCATATGTCCAAAGGAAACAAAAAAAAAATTGAAATAACTGACAAGCCAGAAAAATGTCGGGCCTACCGAGAATTGAAACTGGAGCACCAACGTGGCAACCTGAGCTTCAGACCTCTGAGCCATAGTACGATAAACTCTGCAATCAAATTGAACATTACTCATTGATGCAATAAAATAAAGATACACTGTCTTTCTGATGACAACAAAGAGTTTGAATATAAAGTATAATTCATCGTTTTCAACAGATATGCTTCATCGGGAGCTTCTTGAATAAATTTGTTGGTATATATCTTCAGCGGTGAGTGTTTTGGATTTTTGTCGCTTTATATCCAATAGATTGTTTCTTGAGAAATGCGATAAGTTTCAGATACTTATTGATTCCGATATTATCTTCAACATTCAAGCATGTATGCGTACCATCTACCATCGAATATATAATCCAATGAGTTGATGACTTCAAAGTCTTTGAATTTTTACCAAAATAAGCCAGTAAAACGTTTTCTGAACACATATTCACCATCTCGGAGTGGCACCAATTTATGAATGTATCATATTGTAATTCATATTTCTTTCTTGATTTCTCCGGTAAGAGATTCGAACTCTTGCGCTTTCTGCTATATCAGGAGGTGTGTTCGATGATTCACTGTCACTATTTTCCATCATGAAAGAATTGGGGGTTTTCAAGAATAGATAAGTATAGGTTTCAGAGATGTGCGAGTGTTTTTTCAATATTTCCGCTCACGAGCGCAAATGCTGTCAAAAATAGTTATTTATTATACAAGGGAAAAAAGTAGTAGATTTTAGCTCCAGGTTGTGTTGTCTCCCGACGCGTAGCGGAGGGAGACAAAAAACCGTGAGCTAAAATCTAATATTTTTCCCGTGTATAATACACTATTTTTTTCTGTGACAGAAGGAAGGACGAATCAATATTGAGAAGATATTACATTATTTCGAAATCTGAAAATTATCGACGTGAAATTTCAAGTTTTTAACAGTAGAGACACCTGCGTTTTATAGACATCTTTATCATTCTTTTGAAGTAATCAAATATCTGATGTCACTTCTGTCAGTTCAATTCTGTGATTTGATTTTAAAAAATTGCGAATTCAGTAGTTGTTTAGTAATATAGGAAACCGCGAAGTCGAATGGAAGATAAAAGGACTTGCAGTTCTTTCTCGAAGACGGTATTATTGACTCATTTTTCGAAACTATAGCACAACAAAAGCCATTAACAGAGTATATATATGTGATATATATCCGGGAAAAAAGTACTCACTTTTTTCCCACGGGAAAAAAGTAATTTATGAAAAGTGACATTTTATAACCTGCCAACAGAGATGAAATGCCAAACTTTTTTCCCGTCACAGAAAAAATTAGATTTCTGGGAAAACGTCAACTTTGTGCTGGAATTTGAGAGCGTCAAAGGATGCTTTGTTAAGCGTTTGTAGAAAAAATATTTTTCATATCGTATCAACTTGACTCCAAATTATTTGTAGACGAATAAACCACAAAATTTTCATTAAGTCGTCAAAGAGCCAACAATGTATAAAAGCGATAAATGAAAGTACTTCTTTGCCAACATTGGCGCTAAGTCGGCCAGCGGGTCACTTTTGTGATTTATCATTGAAAAATGCCAATATTATACCATTGTTGGTTCACTCGGATGACAAGAGTCCAATGAATATCAAGAAGCACCATCATCACATATATAACAGGGTGAGGAATATCATGCACACAGCCAAATGGTGGATGGATGGAATGAAAACGAGTATAGATTTTGTGATTTTTTTTTCATCCATATATGGAAATAGAGGGTGGTTATTTTTGTGTGTGATCTCGATAACCAATATCTGAAATATATTATCCATCCTATCGTACCACTGCTGCAGCTGCAGTTTTTTCCTTTAGTATTTTTAGAATTCAGGAACCAGTTCATTAAATATCAGGATGGACTGAAAGATACCACTATCACATGTTATAATATGGCAAAGAATGTCACATGGCCAAATTGTAGATGGATGAAATCAAGACGACTTTAGTGATTATGTAATTTTTTTCCTATCCAATTTATGGTGAAAGAGGCTGGAGTCAAATCATTAGAGACATAAAAAGGGAGTATGACTTTATGATCCTGAGTGATAATCAGGATCATCAAGTTTTCGACCTCGAGCAACCACCGTTCGTGCAGCCATCTTGGAAAAATGACACCCGTAATCAGGTTTTGGCATATCTGTAGGTATATTAGAGGAAAAGTTTCTTTTGAAAAAATGGAGATATTAAAATTTTTTCGTTGAAATGATTTTTGAGTTATAGGTCTGGGTATTATATTGACCAAATTTCAGTCTAATAGTCTTATGAAAATTCTTGGCGAGGAATGGCACATAGCCAAATGGTGAATGGATAAAATCAAGACGTATTTAGTAACTATGGAACATTCGTTCCCATTTATTTTATGGAGATATATAGACGGTAGTAAGTTGTGTGTATACCTTTGATGACGAATATTTAAGATATTATTCATCTTCATCAAGGATAATACTAATATTTCCATGAAATGATATTGGAGACAGATGTTCATAATCGGAATCGTTGAAATAAAGTTCAGTTAACAAACACTTACTATCCCTAAAACTGCTTTATTTGAATATTCTTTATCTTTCCATATCAGCGAAATTCTCAAAAACTCCATACAAATTAAATGCTTCCACATTCTTATGCTCTGAAGTTTTGTTTTGATAGTATTTGCTGTATTAGATTATAATCTCAATAAAAATACGTCGTAGATTTCAGCAGATGACGATGAATTATTCCAGGAATATAAGGTTTTATATACCGAATACACGTCACATAATGCCCTGTATCTCCAAAATGAAATATAATAATCTCATGAATCACAGTTTACATAACATATACATGAATAGTTCAAAAGTTTCTCAATCAGTTGCGTACCTTCATGCAGTGTTTTGAGAATTTTCATTCTTCACTTACCAAACTTGATTCATCAGGTGATGCCAAACTGAGAAGCAATACACTCACGTTAACTGTTAACGAATCTGAAACAAGAAATATTCAAAATATCATAACGATAATATACTCGAATGTTTTCAATCATGAAATAACAACTTTCTTGAAACCAGGGTTGGGCAAATCTTAATTTTTTTAGAAAAAATCAAAAATCATTGATTTAAATAAAAAAATCATGATTTTTTGGATTTTTTTGATTTTTTTTTATTTTGGTCTCAATGCGCGATAAATATAGGTACCTGTCAACATTCATGTCCATTATACAACTCAAAACTATTTTAATTTTGTGTATTTCATGAATTTGAGTATTATAAAATTAAAACAAAATATAATTCACAAAGAAAGCCATTCTCAGTAGGACGATGTGGGTCGACCGACATGTCTGTACAAGAAAATTCCTGTAGCCTGTATATGTATATGTTTCAATATCCAGTTTTTTTAGGGGTTTTACTATTTTATTTCAGTTTAATATTTTTTATTATTCAAATAAATAATAAATGTTCTCGAAATTATTATTTTGATTTAAATTGTGATTTAAAAAAAAATCACTTGATTTAAATCATGATTTTTATCTTGATTTAAATCAATTGATTTAAATCAGCCCAACCCTGCTTGAAACTGGCTTCTGGGTGTTTTGCTATAAGGATGGTTGTGAAATTATTGCGAGACCAGTAGTAATAATTTCAGATTGGATCTCACTCGTGGCATGGTATGACTTTTTGAGGTGATTGTAAGACATTGATTTCATGCTGCTGATTATGTATGGAGGAAATATTTTTCCTTAGTTGATTTTTATATATATCATTTCGACCTTGTACCATACAGCCTCATTATGGAATCAAACTTCCTATTGCAGAACTATAAGAATCAATAACTCACGAGTCAGATAATAGCGATATAGTGTTTTGTCAAATAAGAAATATTACCACGTCATACTGCCAACGTACCAATCAACAGTCAGAAAGATTTATTAGAGAATAATAACTTTGGAAAATAAGGCGTTACTAGGATCAAAATTCCAGCAATGCAACCTATCAGAAGACGATTTTTCGATAGGTATGTGTTTTTCGTGAATGCCATGAAGGCAGAGCAACATTTTTTGCCAAGGAAAATAACTTGATTACCTGCAATAACATTTCAGCGGATTAAATAAATACAAAGAGCTCAAAGTCATATCTACACAATGTTCATAAAATAAACAACAATGGTAGATTTCTGGAGAAAAACAACTACTTTCCTGGCTAATGCCACGCAGAACATTGAATTACATCCTCCCGAAATCTAACTGCATCGACTCGTATAAACGAATACTGATACAAGTGAATCTTTCCTGAATGCCAATTGATTTCGATTTAAGCAGGTCACGCTAGACACCTACAGACTGGTTTCAAGTTCTTTGACTCTCATCAGTGCAGGGCAGTCTCCAGTCAGCAGTCCTAAGACCGCCGACTAAGCAAAGTCCAGCCAAACAAAAATCAAGTCGGCATTATATTCCCCCAGACGCGTCCAGAGGGTCCGTTGAAGGAGTGATTGGAAAATTACTCTACCAACAACAACTAAGAGAGGCAACTTTACAAACATATTTTGCTGAAGCTGAGTTTTAATAAATTCCAGACCCTTGACTAGAGTATCTAGCGATCCCGATGATCTCGAGGCATTGAAGCCTAATCATTTTTTGATGGAGTCTTCGAATGGAGAGTGCTTACCAATACCAAATTTTCTAGATGGTGATTGTCTTCAGGAAGAATGGAAAAATACCGCAGTCATTTCCAGACTCTTTCTGGAAACGTTGGGTTGAAAAGTATCAATCCACGCTGACAAAACGAAACAAATGGACTAGAGATCGCAAAACCATCCAGATAAAACACACCACAATAAAATTGGGTGTTGGAAAGAATTCTCAACGTTTTTGCAAGTCCTGATGGACCAGTTATAGTTGTTAATGTACAAACATATACTGGTGAATACCGACATCCGTGAACTAAGTATGCCGTTTAGATGAACACTAGTTTCGCTAGAAGGGATGGAGATATATGATCCTCATATATATTATATGAATAATTCAAATGAGGTCAGATATTTGATCAGTTTCTGATGTTGTCAGAATTGTCAGATATTTTTTTGAATATTGTCAAATAGAAGTCTTCCAGACTAAAACGAGTTGGATTCTTAATACAGGAAGGATATTGTGGCCGCTTGAACACAGAATTCGGACACACCTCTATTTCAAACTGATTCGAAAAAGTCACAATGATATAGTCAAAATAAGTAGTGGTTTTTAAATATGTGGCCAAATTTCGAAGGGTGAATTCCTTACTGATTCTAAGACGTAAAGATATATGTCTGGAATCTGGAATTTAGGTTCCTAACGACACTGTGGAGTAATTGAATGCCAACAATTTATTATCAGTCCACTCGATCATTATCACAAGAATTACCTAATGAAGTTTGGCTACACACTTGAATAACATCTTGTATATCTTTCTCTCAGTTATATTTTCCTTTGTAGCTATTATACACAATATGATGGATAATATAATGAAAAGAGCATTGCATTACATTGCATTCGAAATTCTTTCTAATTCTCTGAAGTAATTAAAATACTTACGGTTCTATTCGAGAATTTGAACATTCAACAGATGTAGCTCATTCAACAGCTCCATCGGAGCATGAAAAATTCTTTAGTGCTCATGGAACGTATTTCCAGGCAATTATTGTGGAATAACCATCCTACAGAGTGCATGGCAAGCGGTAAATTACTGGAGCACGAAATGGAAAGAGATTTGCAATGTGAAACTCATGAATTATGTGATTATGTGAACGATACCTAATTTTATCAACAGGTTTTGAAACTATTATAATATTGCAATAGTTTTTAGGTTTTATCAAGCGATTTTTTTTTCTAGAGTCCCAAGGTTGAATGACAGTTTTGACATTATTTATCAAAAAACTTATCTCTAGCCAATTTACCATATAGAAAGCCAGGAAGTGACATCTCGACTGGTATGGGATTGCAAGAGGGAACTGAGAACTCTGGCAGACCGGAACTGCGTCAAGCTAATCTGGGTGCCAGGTCATCAGGGGATCGCTGGCAATGAGAGGGCTGACGCCAGATCCAGGACAGACTCTTAGAGTACCAAAACGTACAGCACGAGTGTCAGTTAAAGACTGGATTCAGGCAAAACATAAGAGCTACTGGGAAAACATCCCAAGAAACAGACATGGGAAACAATACATTGAGGAACCAAGTCATAAACGAACTGAAGACCGGCTCAACTTGAATAGAGCACAGATAAAAACTGTTACGGGACTCATGACTGGCCATGCGCCAGTAAATGAGCATCTCGCCAGAATGGGACTGTACAATGGCGACCCAAGCTGCAGACTATGTGGCAAGGAAAACCAGAAACAGTAGCACATAATATACTGTGCCGATGTGAGGCATTGGACCGCAGAAGACAGAAGATCTTTGGGCAACCAGTTGGCGAACCAGAAGAATTCAACTCACATCCAGTGAAGGATTTGTAAAGACTTGTTCAAGGTACAGATATAATGGAGTGGGCACAATAAAGAACTACTAGGTAAAATACAATGGGCCACTATAGGCGTAAGTGTCGTCGGAGACATGGTCAGACGAGCCTACAAACGGGGTGGAGTTTTTAGTGGGTAAACCCTAGCTAGAGTCAGGGGTGTTCCACACTATCATATGGGGTATAGGACCCATATGGTGTCCATAAAGGATTTAAGCCACCTCGACAAAAAAAATTACCATATGATATATGACATACTGAATTTGAATCATTTTATTTCAACTGAAATGCGATAAGTTTCGAAACATGTGCCTTCAGGAGTCAATATATATATATATTAACATATTTATTTTGCTATTATAATCAACTATAATAGGTATACAGGGTGGGTCACGGTCGATGGCACCTTAGACGTTTACGGAGAACGGGACATAAGATCATTCTGAAAATTTGGTTACTCAAGTAATTGCTCTTGATCTATCGATCTGAAATATTTTCAGCTCTGCGGCGTTGCCGCTTCTATCGAAAAGTAGCAACAACTTTGTTATTTTAAATGGAACACCCTGTATTTTATCGCATCTTCAGATTCTTTCTGAAGAGCTGATTTCATCGATGTATCACACTTGGGGTCTAGCGGAAATGATTACAGAGATATAGGGTTTGAAAAATCGACATTTTTCAACTTTAGGAATTTTTTTTCTCGAAACTATTCATTATTGGTCAAAACGACTCACATGTCCCTATCCCAACATTTGATCAACTATCTACTGACATTTAATTGAAACAAATACAGGGTGGTGCAGAATTCAGATTCTTGATCACCCAGTATATGTCCCAATCAAATATCAGTAGATAGTTAATCAAAAGTTGAGATAGGGACATGTAAGCCGTTTTGACCAATAATGAATAGTTTCGATAAAAAAAATTCCTTAAGTTGAAAAATGTCGATTTTTCACACCCTATATCTCTGTAATCATTTCTGCTAGACCCCAAGTGTGATATATCGATGAAATCAGCTCTTCAGAGAGAATCTGAAAATGCGATAAAATACAGGGTGTTCCGTTTGAAATAACAAAGTTGTTGCTACTTTTTTATAGAAGCGGCAACGCCGCAGAGCTGAAAATATTTTAGATCGATAGATCAAGAGCAATTACTTGAGTAACCAAATTTTCAGAATGATATTATGTCCCGTTCTCCGTAAACGTCTAAGGTGCCATCTACCGTGACCCACCCTGTATATTACATATGAATTACATAATATTTCCTAACACCTCAATTTAATATTCAACAATACATTCATACTATTATAACAATACTTTTTCCATATTAGAAGACTAGGTCACAAATAATAATGTATTCCGAAAAAGTTCTACGCACTGCAATAGTTTATGCATACGATTTTACTCATATTAGAATGAGTCAGTGAAAATACATTTCCAAAGAATGTGATTTCTGGAGGTACGAAACTCGCAGAACACGGAAACGCAAGTTCTTCACAT